CATTTATTAATTAAACAATACTGAGTGTCTAGCATTGTATACGACATACATGGTCCCTGCCCTTATAGAGCATGCAGTCGAGTGAGGGAGACAGACAATAAGAAGGCAAACACATATTTGTATAACATATTATGGTAGGTGCTAAAAAAAACAAAAAACAGGCTTAGTGAGGAGAATGAGCAGGAGACCTCAGAAGGCCTCTTTGAGAGATGACGGGTGTTCAGGTAGCTGGAGCAGCACATGTGAAAATCCTGATTACAAAAGTGAAGTTGACGCATTTGAGAAACTGGAAAGAAGCCTGTATGGCTGGAGTGCAATGCCTGCCGCAGAGAATGTTGGTAGATGACTTTGGAAATGTAAACTGAGGCCTGGCCATGCAGAAGCTTGCTGGGCGTAATAAGTAGTCTGGATTTTATTTGAGTGCAGTGGGAAGGCACTGAAGGTTTTGTTCTTTTGTTTTTGTTTATTTTAGTAAACCATGTATCTAGATCAATAAATATAACTAGCAGCTCAGAAACCTCCCTTATGGCCCCCTTCATAAGCATCTACTGTTCTGACAGCTATCTCCATAGATTTAGTTTTAACTTTATCCTGTTTTTGAACTTTATATAAATGAAATCACACCATATACTACATAAGTGGAATCGTTGTGTCTGGCTTCTTTCACTCAAAATTACATTTGTGAGCGTCATCCATGTTTTTGAGAATAGCAGTGGTTCATTTTCCTTGCTGTATTTTGAGGGCTAGTCACATGATTGGATTAGTTTTTAAAAGGTGACTGGTTTTTATATGGGGAAATAGATTACAGAGAGGCAGGAAAAGAAGCATGGAGACTGGGAAGGTAGTTGTGGAATAGACTAGGTGAGGAGCTTGGACTAGTGTGAAGAGCAAAAGAGATGGAATGAAATAGACAAATGTGAGGTATATACTTTGGAGGTAAAACTCAGGGAATTTGCTGATAGATTGGATAAGAGTAGGAGTGAGGGAAAGGGATGTACCATGATTCCCAGGTTTCTGGCTTGGGCAGCTGATAGATGGAGGTTTCATTTTTTTCTCATGGGAAGGACACATGTAAGTAAAATAAAAACGAAGAGTTCATCATTAGGTATTCCAAGATGCTTGTGAGATATAAGAGAAGCTGTCAAACAGGCATTTGGATTATGGGTATGGAGCGTATTGGAAAAAAAGTAGGAAGTTTGGATAGTTTGCAGATTATGAGGCAGCTGCCATGTAAAGAGTACTGTCTTAGAGTTAGAAGATCTGAGTTTCACCATTTTATTCAACTTCTATTGGCTATGTGACTAAGGGCGAATCACTTGATCTTTTTGAGTTCCATTTCTTCTCATCTGTAAAATGGGAGTAATACTTTGCTTCATAGTATTAGAAAAAGTGTAACATATGAATGAGGCCACATGTTATAGATATTTGTCCCAGTGGATGTTCAGAAAAGTTTGTTCATGCACATACATTTTGGATTGGTAGGAAAAAGACTATGGAAAACCTTGAAAGGCATGTAAGGGACTTGGTATGATATGGAGCTTTAGAGTTTCTTAGTAAGGGAGTAGACTTATCGAAGTTTAGTTTTAGGACACATCATCTAACTGCTGTGCAGGAAGGAGTTAAAGGTGAGAAATATCTAGAAAATCAATTGTCATAGTTCAGGATAAGGTGCGGCCTGACATAGATGTAGAGATCAAAGAACAAATCAGAAAGATTTCAAAGGAAGAAAGTACAAGATTTGTTCAGTGACTGATTTTATAGCTTAACAGAGAGGGAAGAATGGATCATCCATGAGCCTGAGGCTTCTAGCCTGGGAAGGTAGAAAAACAGTGGAAGCAGTGACAAATCTGGGGTAGTCTGAAAAGAAGGCTGAGTTAGGGAAAGGACAGTACATTCTGTTTTGAACCTATGACTCTTAAGGTTCTATATGGTTGTCTTTGGGTAGTCGGATATTCTCTGGCAGTGAGATATTGTGGAAAAGAACACAGGATTAGAAGTCAAGAGATTGATTCTTTTTCAGGCTTAATCACTAGTTAAACTTCGTAGTCTTGGTAAATTCAGCATTTCAAATATTCAATGTAGTTATCTAAAAAAAATGAAGCTAACACCTGCCTTACAGGATTGTTTTAAGGATCAAATAAGAATGTATATGAAAACGCTCTGTAGTTGTAAACTCTTATATAGTTGTAAGATGGTAATGTTATTTTTCTTCTTAATTCAAACTAAAATGAAATATTTGGTTCTAGGGCTAGAGAAGAGAAGCCGGAAAATACCAAACTTCCTAAAAGTTTGTGTTTGGAACTAAATCAAAAGCATCAGAAACCTTAGTCACTGAATATATATGCCTGAAAACCTCTGTAGACTATAATTTGGGAGACTAATCTGGAAGCTGAGCTTGTACATGACAGTTATGGGAACCGAAAACACAGGTTCCATCTTGTCAAACGTCAGTATTTAACTTGCCTTCAAGTTGGAAGTTTGAAGAACTTTTGAATTCCACCTGTATAGTTGCCCCATGTGTGTTTACAGAATTTTAGAACATACCTTTCCTGTGTCTGTGAGCTATGCAGTTTTTGCCAAGGGTCAAATTAGGGTAATGTTTCAATTCTTAAGCTATATATAAAGAAATGATTTCTAACATTTATCAGCATTGTCAGTATGGTATACTAATTAGGATCATAGACTCTGAAACCAGAATGCCTGGATCGAATCCCAGCTCTGTCAATTAATGACTAGCCTTATGCACTTGAGCAAGTCATTTAACCTCTCTGTGCCTCTATTTCCCCATCTGTAATGGGAACTAATATTAATACCTATCTGAAGGTTGTTGGGAGGATTAAATGTAGTACTATACATAAAGCACTTAAGAATGGTTCCTGGCACATACTAGCACTATATTAAGTGTTGTGGTTATTATAGAATAGTTAGTTGTTACTTTGGCAGTGACCAAGGAATAAAGTACACGAACAAAAGAAACATATCTCTCAGAACTTATAGCTGAGGGAAGTGGAAGTGGTATAGTGGGCTTTAGAGTCACTCATGCTTAGATTCTAATCCTAATTCTGCCCCCTTTGCTTTGTGGTTTAAGCAAGCCACCTAACCCCTCTGAAGCTCAGTTTCTTTTACCTGTGAATGAGGAGTCACAATGCCTATCTTGCAGAGTTGTTATGAGGATGAAAGGAGACAATGTGTAAAGTGGTTGGCCCAGAGTAGATGCTGAAAAGATGAGAATGCTCTCTTACACCCCCTCTCCACTGTACAGCAGTATGGGCAGTTTGATTTCCTGTATGCTCTCGTATTCATTTGTTTGCAATCTTAGAAATTCTAAAATGCTTTACATTTGCTAACAACAGAATAAACAGCAGCTGTTTAATTGGACACACCTTGAAAAGTGTGTTGTCAGCTTTTGTGTCTCTCTTTGCTGTTTTGCGTTACTTGCTTTATCATTATGGTAAATCCCGTTAGAACCAAGATGGTAGACATTATTCATCAGTCATGGAATTGAACTGGGTTGTAGCCTCAGAATCCTTCACAGAATTCCAGGCAGCTACAATTAATTCATCAGACTTGGTACAGTAGTGAATCCTCTCTGCCTTAGAGCTTTCTAGAAGAAATGTTTATGGGATTATCAAAATAATATCTGGACTGTCCACTAATCCTCTGTCTCAAGATGTGGGTTTATCAACCTTATGACAAAGCAGAGTGGTCTTAGAGCATTTCCTAACAGATACTTATCTATATTATAACATTGTTACATAATGTGGGCATCTTTTAGACACCTTCTAGAGGAGATGCAATAGTTGTAAGAGTATAATACAGTGACTATAATGCAAAGATTATAATGCAATGACCCAAGCAAAAGTGTGCATCAGAATCAGCTGGAATGTGGTCTTAAAATATTCATGCTCTAGGCTTCACTATATATTTATTGAATTAGATTCATCAATAGATGGACCTAGACATGTGCATTTTGTAAAAGTATCCCAGATGATTCTGCTGTATGTACCACTGGTTAAAAATAACTAGATAGTGGCAAGAGTGTAGAGAATCAGGCATCCTCACACACTGTTGGTAGGAATGTAAATTGATATAGTACAGCCTATAAGAACAGTTTCGCAGTATCTATCAAAATTGGACATCTGTCCTATAGAAATACATATATGCACAAAGAAAGTTTCCTATAGACCTGTTTATAATATCAAATAACTGTGAGCAACTAAATGATTGTCCGTACACAAATGATTAAATACATCATACTAGATACCACGGTTGTTTACTGTGCAGCCATCTAAAGAATGATATATGTGTGAAAATTATCTGTATGTGCTGATGTAGAAAGATATCTAGGATATATTGTTAGGTTGAATAAGCAAGTCACAGAATAAACCCTATTTTAAAAATTTTATATGTAAATATGTAGAGAAAGATTTGGAAGAATACCCACCAAAGTGTTTACAGTGGTTATCCGTGACATAAAGGAATGGGAATGATGGAGGGGGAGAGGAATAGGCCTTTTTCCTTTTGTATTTAAAATGTTTGCAATAAGATTTTATTATTTTTGTAATAAGGAAAAGAAACACTGGACAAAACATGAATGATTTAAAGGAAGCTCGTATGGAACCTAATTTGTGTGTGTCAGGACACTGCTTATTTTGCAAATACCAGTTTTAACCTGAGACTTACAATCTATAATCTCTAACTTGGGAAACAGAAAGGGATGTCAAAACTATTTTGCATGTTTGCAAAGAAAATAAAATTTTGTTACTAAAGTTATTATGAAAGTAATTGAGAGTTTCAAACAGATAAGCTTATTTAAGATATAAAGTATTTGCCCTGTGTCAGAATTATATTGGCTATCTGCTTTAAAAATATTTGGTGTCTATGCATAGCTGGATATGAAAATTGGGTTCCGAATATTTTAGTTTAATCCTTTTTCAATTGATTAGCCACTAGCCTGTGAAGATATTAACACCTTTTAATTTTTTCTTTTAAAACTTTAGGCCCGATGAGAGAAAGGGAAAGTTAAGGATGCTGGAGCAGAACAATGGATTTCTCTTTCTCTTTCATGCAAGGGATCATGGGAAACACAATTCAGCAACCACCTCAACTCATTGACTCCGCCAACATCCGTCAGGAGGATGCCTTTGATAACAACAGTGACATTGTTGAAGATGGTGGCCAGACACCATATGAAGCTACCTTGCAGCAAGGCTTTCAGTACCCACCTACAACAGAAGATCTTCCTCCACTCACAAATGGCTATCCACCATCAATCAGCATGTATGAAGCTCAAGCCAAATACCAGTCATATAATCAGTATCCCAATGGGTCAGCCAATGGCTTTGGTGCAGTTAGAAACTTTAGCCCCACTGACTATTACCATTCAGAAATTCCAAACACAAGACCACATGAAATTCTGGAAAAACCTTCTCCTCCACAGCCACCACTTCCTCCTTCGGTACCACAAACTGTGATTCCAAAGAAGACTGGCTCACCTGAAATTAAACTAAAAATAACCAAAACTATCCAGAATGGCAGGGAATTGTTTGAGTCTTCCCTTTGTGGAGACCTTTTAAATGAAGTACAGGCAAGTGAGCACACAAAGTCAAAGCATGAAAGCAGAAAAGAAAAGAGGAAAAAAAGCAACAAGCATGACTCATCTAGATCTGAAGAGCGCAAGTCACACAAAATCCCCAAACTGGAACCAGAGGAACAAAATGTAAGTTGAAACATCTTTTTGAAAAATTTTGTAATATTTCACATTTACTGGAAGTCCAAGAGATATTTTTCAGTTTTTATCTCTTCAAATATAAATACTTCTGATAACTTCTTTCTTCTAATCCCTAGCAAGGAGCATGGGATATTATAATAGGTGCTGAGTAAATATTTGTTGAATAAATAAATGGACGTCAATAGAGTGAAGAAATATTTTTAAAACATGTGGCACTTAAGAATCTTGCTTCTTATGTTTCTTTGTCTAATCGCCTCACTTATTTTTATTTGCTTATAATAAACTCCTGGTTTCTGAAGATGAAGAGGAAAGGCAAAGAGAAGGTGGTTAATTATACTGGTTTTCATTATTTTAGACCAACTTTTGCCAGTAGAGCTTGGATTTAACAGTCATTACTAATGCGTTTGCTACAGAATAACCTGAAGTAATAGTGGAACTCTTTTTATTAAAATCAGAGTTAGTATTCATGTATATTGATTAAAACTTCAGGTAGAGTTTTTATAAAAGTCATTCTTCATAGGTAAGTTAAGATACATGTTGCTGAATTTCTTAATATCTCTGAGGTTTCGGTATGAGTTTTCTTGATAATAGTAGGTATGTAACAAATCAGTTCTAGCTTGAATGGAGAGTTTTTAGTTAGTATTCTAATACATGGTATGAATTGAAGATGTTTCCCAGACATTGATTTGGGAAGAAATGAACAGATATTCTCTGTTCATTTTTGTGACAGTTGTCTGCTTTATATCTGGTATGCCTGAATGAGTTAATTTATTATCTTTTATTCAAAGAAATGTTTACCTCTTACCAACTCACCTTTCCCTTGGTACCTAGGTTCCAGTACTTCATACAACTCAGATGGGATCTTTTTCTAGAGTAAAGGTCACACTGGTTCTAGACTCGCACAAGTCCCACCGTGATATTTCAATATGTTTTTCTCATTTTTCTGTAGTTTTCTTATTCATTTAACAAATATATATTGAGTACCTACTGTGTGCTAGACACTTTTCTAAGAATTGAAAGTAGGGCAATGAATGAAAAGTAGAGATGCCAGCTTTCAGGGTGCTTATATTCTAATAAGAGGAGCCAGAAAATACATACATACATGTTTACACACACAGGTATGCGTATAAGTTCAGATAGTGTTAAGTGCTGTCAGAACTGGTCGATGAGATCAAGAGTAATCAGGGACACTTTAGCTATTCTGGTGTCTTAGTTCTGCATCTGTAAAATGAAAGCTTTAGAACTAAATGGTTTCTGAAATGTTTTTTAATTTCTTATGTCATTTATTAAATGACCCCCACAGAATTTAGCTCACATAATCTCTTATACTGACTATTTATTAAATAAATGAATAAATGGAATGAGAGAGGTTAACTTTTTGCACTCCAGATATGTTCACTGTAGCATTAGTTTCCTAGACCTTCAGTGAAAAGACACATGGTGCACCATGACCCTTGGGAATCACAAAAATGCATACAACCTGAATTTGGTTTTAGCCTAGTTCCTGAGAACTGTCTTACTGCCTCATCTTGCTTTTGCTCTAGAGAATCTGGCAAATAGGAGAATATCCAGTTTTACTTATTAGGCTAGACTTTTTGCCTGTATTGATAAACTGAATTAAAAATATATCTCAAAATAGAAATAGGGCTGGAAGCAATTAGAGGCAGGATAAGATAGTCTATGTTTCATATATACTTTTTGCTTTATTGGAATCTAGGGAGACATTCAGTGCAATGATATTTCTAGTAGTCACTTTGCAATGAGATTTTAAAGCCAGTTATGTCTTTGTTGGATATCTGGTATGCCTGGCTCTTTTATATTATTACTTAAACTTTTCAGTTAACTGTTATATCCAGGAATTAGAATAGTTAGATATAATTTAAGAGTTTTAGTTCATTGTCTTTATTAGTAAATCATGTGGGGCCTAATTTAATATTTCATTATTTAGGATCTTACAACACCTTGGGATAAAGGAATGTCAATTTGACTGTATAAATGTAGCAAGTGGCATTGATTGAACTAAATATTACCAAGACCATTGCCTGAAATTTTGGGGGAAAATCCAGGGTTTGTTCTTGTCTCTCCTTCTCCCCTCTGACCCTTTCTTCCTCTTTCCCTCTCTCCCCGCCTCCTCCTCCTCCTCTCTCCCTGCCTCCTTTCTCCCTCCCCCCATCCTTCTCATCCTCTTTCTCTCTCTCTCTCCCCGCCTTTCCTCCTCCTTTTTCTTTCAAAGAAGTAAGGTAAAGGGCTAAGTTGTTGTCCGTTGAATTTTGATTAATTAAAATTTTATCACACCTGGGGCTATTATAAGCCTAAGAGATGGGTGCCATAAAAGTTGTCCTCCATTCTGGTAACAGAATTTTACAGCTAGAACTCCAAGGCTCTTGCCTGTTATTAGTGTCATGCTTTTACTAAGCTATACAGATGACAAGTAATGTGCACGAATTAATCTGCTTTGTAACCTTATATGTTTTTTAATTGAGTTCCCTTAACTTGAACATCTGTTTTACTTCCTTCAGGACAGTTTTATTTTTGGTGTGTTTTATTTTATTTTTATTTATTTATTTATTTTTTTGTGAGGAAGATCAGCCCTGAGCTAACATCCATGCCAATCCACCTCTTCTTGCTGAGGAAGACCGGCCCTGAGCTAACATCTATTGCCAATCCTCCTCCTTTTTTTTTTTTCCCCCCTTTTTCTCCCCAAAGCCCCAGTAGATAGTTGTATGTCATAGTTGCACATCCTGCTAGTTGCTGTATGTGGGACGCTGCCTCAGCATGGCCGGACAAGCGGTGCGTCAGTGCGTGCCCGGGATCCGAACCCAGGCCGCTAGTAGCGGAGCGTGTGCACTTAACCACTAAGCCATGGGGCCAGCCCCCTTTTTAAGTGTTTTAATATTTGATACCCTTCTGCTTCCTGGTTGTCACTAGGGATCCAAGCCCTTGGTGTTTAGCATTGTAGAGGGCTTAGAAGTGAAAGAGAAGCCTGAGTCTGCTGACGCCACTGGACAGCTCCCCTCCCCCAGACACCTTAGGGAAGCATATTGAGAACTGTGTGCCTGGAGAAAAAGTTTGAAATGATTGTCCTCAAGCTGGATTTATATTTTATATATATATATATATATTTTTTTTTCCCCCTTAAAAGCCCACTCATGGGTTCTTTTTCAAGCAAACAAAATCTCATGTAAATACACTTCAGGATTTCACTCACTACTTTTTTCTTTTTTTTCTTAGTATTTGATCTACAAGTCTTTCCTCCCAATCCTGTGCTGTTTGGCCTTCTAAAGAGTGGCTGTTATTTGGAACAACCTAAGTATATCTTCTCCACAATGAAAATGTGTCCAAACATCTAGGCAGCAGGGGACCTGAGATCACTACTGAAATTGTATATTTTGTAAAGCTGCTTTAGCTGTTTTTCCTCCCACCAAATTAGAAACATGTGGAAATGTTTCTGAACGTCTTCCTTCTTGGCAGGTGTAATGCCTCAGGCATGTGAGTGTAGGCCCTATTCAAACTTTGGTCTTCCACTAGCACCTCCGTGGGCTTATCCACTAAGGCTAGTGTCATTAACTCTTAGCTTGCCGTTTTCACTTACAAAAAGCCAAATAACTGGTGCAGACCCATTAGCACTAAGTTAAAGGTCATATTTGGTTCTCTAGCCTCAGAGTATTAGGTCCTAAAATTCTTAGAAACTGTTCATATGCAAAATGTTCCTTTTGTACAGACTTTTTTAAGATTACTTAAGCAATTATTCTGAAAGTAAAAGAAAAATGCACGAACCATTTATTGTCTTTAAAATTTTCTTTCCACCTTAAATATTGACGTAAGTTTTGGGTTCTTTTAGAGAATACGATTTTGCTTAATGTTTTGAAAATTATTAAAGAGTTTGGAAATCTCCCAGATTTGATGCATATTATTCATCTTAATAAATCTCTTGGGTTTTAATAAAAGTACTAGACCAAATTTTTTTTTTTTTTTTTTGGTGAGGAGATCAGCCCTGTGCTAACATCTGCCAATCCTCCTCTTTTTTTGCCGAGGAGGACTGGCCCTGGGCTAACATCTGTGCCCATCTTCCTCCACTTTATATGGGATGCCGCCACAGCATGGCTTGCCAAGCAGTGTGTCGGTGCGCGCCCGGGATCCAAACCTGCGAACCTCAGGCCGCCGCAGCGGAGCGCGTGCACTTAACCGCTTGCGCCACCGGGCAGGCCCCCGACCAAATTTTTTTAAAGGAATATTTAGGATAATGTAATTTTATTTTAGCTACTCTCTTAACATATTTTTTTCCTGTTTAGGAAACTTCCTGCGATTCTTTCCTGGAATATAGGTCTTTGTATGTGGAATCAACTAAAAATGTAAAAACGTGTTATATACCCATAAAATCATAAGTTTAAAATTAGGATGACTTGAACACGAAAGAGAGCTAACTCACTGTCATCTTGTTCTCTGATGCTTTCTCTTCCTAAAGCAACACTATTAGTACCAAAAAGTGTATCTTCTGTCCTTACTTGATTTTAATCTCTTTTAAAGCTTATCTATCCTTTGAACAACTGAAGAAAAATGATTTTATACCCAGAAGTATTTTATCCGTTGGCATTTTCTGACTCCTTATTTTTCTTGACTCCTAAGCATTTGACTTCCATTGACTATTTCGTCTTAAAAACTTCCTCCCTTCTTAATTGGTTTTTGTGGTACTATGCTATCTCTTGGTTTATCCTCTTACCTTTCTTTTGAGCTCAAGTCATAGATCTCTAAATGCCTACTAGATATTTCTGTTTTGCTCACACATTAGCACATTTTACGATGTATATTCCCTTTCTATCATTGCAGCATCCTTATTTGACTTCTTTTTCCTTCTTTTATTTATTTAGTATTGAAAGCTTAAAATAAACCTTCTTGGGCTTCTTTCTCTCCCTTGCCATTTCTTTCCATTTAAAATGACTGCACATGGGCCGGCCCCGTGGCTTAGCGGTTAGGTGTGCGCGCTCTGCTGCTGGTGCCCCGGGTTCGGATCCCGGGCGCGCACCCACACACTGCTTGTCCAGCCATGCTGAGGCCGCGTCCCGCATACAGCGGCTGGAAGGATGTGCAGCTGTGACATACAACTATCTACTGGGGCTTTGGGGGAAAAAAATAAAATAAATAAAATCTTAAAAAAAAAATAAAATAAAATGACTGCGTAAAAAATTTCAATTCTATGAAAGTGATTTTAATAGTGTTTCAAGCCAGCCTGAAGGAAATGTGAACAATCTGGAACAAACCAAAAAATCAAAAAAAGATAATACATTTGAATAATAAAAAGATTTTGAAGGAAATCCTGTCTTTAATCTAGAAAGGGAAAAATGTTAATGGGCTACAGGCCATCTCTTACAATAATAGGATTCTGTTGTTTGGCAAAGATTAGTCACTCCTTATCTATCTGCCCTCAAAAAGAGTTCTAGAGATCCCTTGCACCCAGACATCATGAAGATTGAACGTGTGGAGGAGGATGACTCGCTTTCTTGGCCACATATGTGCTTCCTGCTGTAGCTTGAGAATGAAAGGCTGAGGTGAAGGCTTAAGCTACATCTGTAGACTGAAATGAAGCTGCCAAATGGGCCGATGCAAATGTGGACAGTATTTCTAAACTGCTTTATCCTTACACTAGTGATCAGGAAAACAATTTTCATTTGAACATAGATTTTTCTTTTCTTGTTCAGTGAGTGGGTCCTGTTGGATTAGATATTCATGGTACCCCACAGATGCAGCCAACAGAGCTAGTTTTGTGCCCTTCAACAAATGGCCACTACCTTCCTTCACCTGGGCCATGTCCAGTATTTCCAGAAACCTCCTAAGTAAACAGTCTGCCTTCTGTCTTGCTCCCTCCCAGAATATACTCCACATAACAGCTAACGTGATCTTTTAAAAACATAAATTGGCATGTGTTACTTTATGTATTACTCTACCTAATCCTCTTCAGTGGCTTTTCATTGCACTTAAGATAAAACACTTGACCCTGGCCTGCAAGACCCTCAAAATGTAGCCTGCCTCCCCACTCTCATCTTGTAACCTCTCTCCTCTTTGGGGCAGTGAAGTCCATGGTAATGGCCTTCTTGAAGTTTTTACCTTTTTTAAGCTCAGGGACCTCACACATGCCAATCCTTCTCTCTGGAGTGTTCTTTCCCCCACTTTTTACTAGACTCCCTCTTCTTCCTTTGAGTCTCAGATTATAATTTACTTTCTCAGAGAGGCCTTTCCTGACCGTCATATCTAAAGATACACACTCACACACACACACACGAACACCATTATTTCTCTTCATACATTTACATTGTATAAGTGTATGTTTGTGTTTTTATTTGTTTAATGTCTGTCTGTCCTACCTAGCTGTAAGCTCTTGAGGCCAGGGATCACATCTGTTTCACCCTTGTGTACTCAACTTCCACAACAGTGCCTGGAAAGTCGTGGGCAATGTTGAATGAATGATTGATACTTGGGGTTTGGGATATTTGTCTGGCTTAGCATTTCCTAACAATTAAAAACTTTCTAACAATTTCTTTTATTTAATGAAACTTTGTTTTTACAACAGTGTCTTGAATATCTTTGAGAATTTTAAGTAGCTTCTAGAATTAGCCATATGTTTTAGTGGAATTAAGACCTAATTTGATGGATATATCCCTATTTTTAAGCCATCTAAATCAAAGTCTGTTCTTTGACAAGTGAGAAATTTTTAAAAATCTTTTAAATTACAAAGTAATTTGCTTTTTACAGAAAATGTAAATAATATAAAAGTATAGATCTTCCCTCACCATTTCCTTAATCTTGTTCCCCAAAGATAACTACTCTTATCAATTTGGTGTACAATATATCAAATATTTTTCAAGGCATATACAGACTATTTTTAAATAAAAAGTGGAAAGATGTTGATAGACATGTAGATTACTGACATGATATAGTGCTGTAGTTACCATCCCTCTGCTTAGATTTTGTTTTGTGTATTTCTGTAGAATAGGTTCCTAAAATACAGTTGCTAGATTGAAGAGTGTACATATTTTGAATTTTGATAGATCCTTCCAAATTACCTCCCCAAAGGGTTGTAGGAATTAATTTTTAAGTTACATATTTGTGGGTTTTATGATTGGAAAAGTAATGTTGATTATAGACAATTTGACAAATATAGAAAAGCACACCCCAAAAAATCACTTATTCCATCATCTGGTGGTATCCTTCTAGTCCTTTTTTCTGTGCACATAAAAAAATTATTTTTCCAGGCTAGCCCAGTGGCGTAGTGGTTAAGTGCGTGGCTCCGCTGTGGGGGCCTGGGGTTCAGATCCCGGGCGCGGACCTACGCACCACTTGTCAAGCCGTGCTGTGGCGGAGTCCCGTATAAAGTGGAGGAAGATGGGCTTGGATGTTAAACCAGGGCCAGTCTTCCTCAGCAAAAAGAGGAGAATTGGTGACAGATGTTAGCTCAGGGCTAATCTTCCTCACAAAAGAAAAAAAATTATTTTTCCACGATTGGAATAATACTATACAAACTGCTTTGCAATTTGCTGTTTTCAAATAACATTATGTTGTTATTTTTCCATGTCATTTTAAAATTTATTTATATTATTCCACTATCTAGTTATAATTTATTTAATTCTACATTTTTGGACATCTAGACTGTTGCTAATATTTGCTCTTAAAAATAGCACTGGTGTGCATATCTTTGTTCTTATATATATATATTTTTATACCTCTCAATGCTTTTTCTTTTTTTTTAATTTTATTTATTTATTTTTTCCACCAAAGCCCCAGTAGATAGTTGTATGTCATAGCTGCACATCCTTTTAGTTGCTGTATGTGGGACGCGGCCTCAGCATGGCCGGAGAAGCGGTGCGTCGGTGCACGCCCGGGATCCGAACCCGGGCCGCCAGCAGCGGAGCGCGTGCACTCAACCGCTAAGCCACGGGGCCGGCCCTCAGTGCTTTTTCAATATACATTTTTAGAAGTGGATTTGCTGGGTCTGAGTCTGAAAATTTAAGGCTTTTCATACGTATTGCCAAATTGCTTTCCAGAGAAATGCCAAGTTACATTTTACTGGCAATCTCACAGTGCCCATTTTTCTGCACTCTGGTGGGTTAAAAAAAAAACACACATAAGAAATTAAGTTTTAAAAATAATAAAATAAGAAATGGGAAATATAGCTGTGGTGTGGAATAGAAAATGAGTATTAAGACACAGCCTCATGTACTGTGTAAGCTGTATTCTTATTCCTTACATTATTCAGTTAATAAATATCCTTTATTCTCTTCGCTATTTAGTTTTCTTTGACTCTTTTTTGTGTATGTCACAGTTCTTTGGTTTGCTGCCATTTTATTCTTTTCACCTAGAGACCAAATGAGAGGGTTGACACGGTATCAGAAAAACCAAGAGAAGATCCAATTCTAAAAGAGGAAACCCCGGTGAGTTGCTTTATTGAATACTGTCTAACCGGGCCGGCCCCGTGGCGCAAGCGGTTAAGTGCACATGCTCCGCTGCGGCAGCCCGGGGTTTGCCGGGCCGGATCCCGGGCGCACACCGATGCACCGCTTGGCTAAGCCATGCTGTGGTAGCGTCCCATATAAAGTAGAGGAAGATGGGCACGGATGTTAGCCCAGGGCCAGTCTTCCTCAGCAAAAAAGAGGAGGATTGGCATTGGATGTTAGATCAGGGCTGGTCCTCCTCACACACAAAAAAAAAAAACTGAATACTGTCTAACCAAATACAGTGTAAGAAAGTGAAAGCAGAGTCATTAAAGTACAACACATTTAACACATTATTACAGTTACGTACTTCATTTCAGAAGTTAGACTGAAATAAATCTTGAAGCTGGTTTAAGAGGTAGATATTTTCAGTAAATTATTTTCCTTTTCAAAACTATAGCCGCTTTTTAATAGATTTTGTGAATTCTCAAGATGCCTCATCAATAATTTGGCAATTAGAAACCATCAATCCTATTTTCAATGTTTGGAGTGGGGCTTATTAATTATTTTCCTCCTCTTTTTTTCCCTTTTGCTAGTTATAGATAGCAAGTATCAGAGAAAAGTATGATGGAAGATAAATTTACATGGTTAGCATGTTTAATGTACTTTGTACATAGTTTCTTTTTTTTAAATTTTTCTGCTGATGAAGTTTTATGACCTTTTCCAATAGGTTCAGCCGATATTATCTTCTGTTCCAACAACAGAAGTGTCTGCCGGTGTTAAGTTCCAGGTTGGCGATCTTGTTTGGTCTAAGGTGGGAACCTATCCTTGGTGGCCTTGTATGGTTTCAAGTGATCCCCAGCTCGAGGTTCATACCAAAATTAATACAAGAGGTAAGAAAAGGCATAAATAGAAATTAAGTAAAAGGTTGGGGAAAGTGAATCTGAAATGTTGTGAATGAATATAAGAATACACACATGCTATATAATCTGACACCACAATATACATAGTTATATCAATTTTTAATAACCAGTGAAATAATTATGGTCATCTTAACTGGCAGAGAGCATCTACAGCTGATATAGTCCTTGTTTTCCCTTATAACACCCTGCATTTGTTTTATAATTTTTTTCACACTTCTTTTTTTAAAAAACCTTAATCTGACTGACCTCTCATATGAATTCCAAAAGAAAGCAGATAGATAAGTAATAAAATGTCTTATATGAGCTTAATAGGCGTTTGGGCCAAGATTTCTTTGAACATTTATATTTCATCTTTGACTCCTATGGATAGTAATTTTTTACCCAGACTGGTGCTTTTCTTCCTGATAAATTTTGCAGGATGCTTTTTCCTCCTTCACTCCATTTTTGAATCTTTAACTTTACTGGGACATCCTAATAAATTCAGTATGACATAGAAGTATAGCTTGAATCTAGCTATATAGCGTAGAATCCTACCTTAGGAATGTTAATAAATATTAAGGAAAGATGTGTTCTAACTTTTTCTTACTCCTTTTCCTGGGTTTGACCAAAACATGTAGATTAGATTCCTGAGATTCTAGCGTTTGGAATGGACTTGCTTAGTAGCCAGAGAAAGATTTGAGTTTGGAATTTTTTTCTGGGTATTTGCTTTGTGAACTCACTCTTGTTACATGTTGAGTTCTTTATTATCTGTGACAACTTTGTACCTATTTCTTTTCCTCTCACTTTAAACTTTGTATCTTGGTCCCAGTTCACTGTTATAAGTCTAGCAAGTCAGATTTGTGACAGGATCAGCCATATCTGTAACTCTTGTGCTACACAGCCAGGAGTTCTGCAGTGGTGTGGAAGGCAATCACCTTGTCATTATAACCTGCTAATTAAAGCTTGGGGTAACTGGACGCATCAATGGGACAGAAGTCAAAAAAAACACAACATGGTTGAATGTCTACTTTTGTGCAAGGCACACCGTGTTAAGCAATTCTCTTACATATTTTCTTATGTAGGCCTCATAGCAGAACACTATGGAGTAGGTACTATTGTTATCCTTATGTTTCATATAAGTAAGTAGAGTCTCAGAGAAATCTTATTCCATAACCTCCACTCTTAAACACTACTCTATATTAGAGGGAAAGTGATTGAATTCACCTAGTTATAATTTACAGAGGTTGGGGGGAGGCAGTCCTGGTTCCTTCATCTTAAGAGTATTGGACTAGTAATCTCTGAAGCACCTTGCAGCTTGAATAATCTATGATTCTATGAATGGGAGAAGAAAGGAACAAGGATTTCCCAAGAGGGCCAAGCCTTCTTAAATAAAGCAATTCATGTCTATACCTGGGCCTCCAGAGCACTCTAAGATATTATATCATGTGAGAGTTGTAGTTCTTCAATTCTCTCCTCTTAGAAAAGCATCCTTTTGAGATTATATAGTTTCACATTTAATTACTTTAGGAAAACCTGCTAATTTCAGCTTTTTTATAGGGTACAAATGAAAGCACAATTCATGCCTCATCTGTATTTCAAAGGAAGTATTTAAATTTAGTTTTATGAATTAATCTAATCTCATCTGGTACCCCCTAGGCAGTCTCCTACTTTAGTGCTGGAAAAACTGATTTTCTTTGTATTATTGAGGAAACCAAAAATATGAGAATTTAAGAAATCTGAGAATTTAGGTTTAAAAAAATGCATATTCTGATGTTTCAAATTTTCTCTTTTTCTACAGTAGTTTTTTAAATAATAGCTTTCTTGAGATATGATTTATATACCATAAAATTTACTCTTTTAAAGTGTGCAATTCAGTGATTTTTAGTACATTTACAGAGTTATGTGGCCGTCACCACAATATAATTTTAGAACATTTTCATCAACCCAAAAGAGAAATCCCGTATCCATTAACAGTCACTCCCCATTCCTCTCTTCCTCCCCCAGCCCTAAGCAGCCGCTGACTGCTTTCTCTCGCTTAGATTTGCCTTTTCTGGACGTTTCATATAAATGGAAGCATACAATCTGTGGCCTTTTGTGTCTGGCTTCTTTCACTTAGGCTAATGTCTTAGAGGTTCCTCTATGTTGTAGCATCTATCAGTACATCAGCTCTTTTTATTGCCAAATAACATTCCACGGTATGGCTATGCAGTGCAGTTTTAAATGAAGTAGTTTTCTAATAGTTTTTCTGAAACCCAAAAAAACACGGCATAAAACTTAATTTTTACTTTGTAAAATTCATCTTCATTATATGTAGTAATCATTGGTTTCCATATTGTTATTAGTCAGTATTGTTATTAGTCAGATTCTTAGCACTGGAAAATATATTAACGGTTTTCACACATAAAGATATAATTCCTTGTAAGAGCATGTTGAAAGATGTTTGGATCACATGTCTATTTTAAGTTATATTTCATTGTTTAGGTCTCATTTTAAGTTTAAAAGTTAAAAATGAAATGTTTTTTCTGCTTATAACAATACAAAAATATATATAGTCAGAAGCAAAAGGTGTCCATAGTCTAATCCTCCAGATATGTAACTAGTATTACGAGTTTGAGAGTGATTCTTTTCCTCTATGCATATTGTAATTAATAGACACAAAAATAAAGATTTTACTGAGAGTTTTAAGTGATATCACATTATACCTATTGTAACTTTTAATTGTAATATATTTTTTTAAGTTTAAAACTGGATGATTTTACCTTTGTATTATTTTTCTTATATAAAAACATTTCATCAACATTTTTCTGTTGGAAATTTAGCCTATTATTCAGAGACGGATGTGTTTGGTTCTCAGTCTCTCAGGTCTTTAGGTTTTTATTTCACTCTTATTTTATAGTTTTCCAGCCAGCAGGAAACAAAGTGCTAACAAAGAGGCAAATTGATTTGTTTCATCTGTAGTAAATGATTTAATGGAGGAAGAAGTTCAAAATAAAGATTAAAATGAGATTATATTATCTGTGAGTTTTAGTTTTTATGTTTTTAACTATAAAGTCCTCTGGGATTATCTGTTTGCTTCTGAGTAACTGACTCTGACTTTTGGAAACAGATTATGTCCCATGTTCTTTTTACCCTATCACCTGTCCCCATCACCCTGTCCTCCAAACTTACCTGTTAGTTTAGGTTATATTTCTGTTTTTGTCCCTCAGAACCCTTGGACTTTTGATAAACTTTCTTTGATTAATTATAATCAGATTTGTGCTTGGCACTTCCTTCTCAGATTAGATGATACGGAAATCTGAGTTGTGTGTGTGTGTTTCTGTCTTCTCATAGGCTATTTTACATATTTTCAAAATAATTCCTTAGATAATTTCCTATTAATGTCTAATAAAATTAAAAATTTTCAAATCCAAGAAATACTCGATTTCAGATAACTAAGTTCAATCTAAGACTATACCCACATTTTTCTAGTCAGGATCTGCTTATTGCCTTTCTCTCCCTACTTGAATTATCTTGAATTCCCTGAGAACGGTTTCTACATTTCTCTGTTAACTTGATACTTCAGAGAAGATTTTCAAACTAGCTTTAGTAAAGGACCAATTTTTGTTTTTGTTTTTAAATTTCCAGTCCACCAAAGACCAATATTTCTGTAAAATACAATAAAATTAACTATGAGAAAAATGAAAGGCCTCCTTGTCCAAAAAAATACATAGGATAAGACCCCTGATCATGCGCCAAGATGTCATGGCAATGTCCAATTAGCATAGTTTTTAAATGCTTATTCTAACTTGTGTGCTTATTTTGTCACAGACTGGCTTGTTCTGGGAACCACACTTTCAGAGTAGCACTACTCTGGAGAAACGGTTCTCAGATGTTTTGGTCCCAGAACCCCTCTACTCTTAAAATTTGAGGACTCTAAAAAGCTTTTGTTTACCTGGGTTATATCCTTTACTGTTTATTTTAATTTAGAAATTAAAGCTGAGAAATTTAAAAATATTTACTAATTCACTTTAAAATAACCCATTATATGTTATCATTAATTATGTTTTTCTGAAAAATAACTATTGTCTCAAAAAAATTAATGAGAAGAATGGTATTGTTTTACATGTTTGCAAATCTCTTTAATGTCTAGCTTAAGTGAAGACACCCGATTCTTGTGTCTGCTTCTACATTCAATCTGTTATGATTTGTTTTGGTTGAAGTATATGAAGATAATCTGGCCTCACATAGATGTGTAGTTGGAAAAGGGGAAGAGTAGTTTAATAGCTTTTTCAGATAATTGTGGATATATTTCTTTGATATTACACCAAAACTCAACAAGGGGTCGCTTAGTTGCAATGTGGAATCTGAAATCGATTTATCAATAAACTTTTTGTACTTTGTTTTTTGGGGGATTTTTTCTTTTTTTTTTTTTTTTTTGGTGAGGACGATTAGCACTGAGCTAACATCTGTTCCCAATCCTCCTATTTTTGCTGAGAAAGATTGGCCCTGAGCTAACATCTGTGCCCATCTTCCTCTCTTTTTCTTGTATGTGGGACACTGCCACAGCATGGCTTGCTGAGTGGTGAGTACGTCCCCACTGGGGATCCAAACTTGCAAACCCTGGGCCACCGAAGCGGAGCGTGTGAACTTAACCATTATGCCACCCAGCCGGCCGGCTTTTTTTACTTTGTTACATTAAAATCCATTGGTTCCGTCTTGCACTTTGAATGGCTCTCTTACCTTTCATGATTTTTTAACATCAAACATTGGCCATTTAAAAAATATTGGTTTACCAAGTCATGCATATCTTCCAAATGTTGACATATTCCTTTATGGATATTTTTTTAAATCACATTATTTAACATAACCACATATTTCATCAGAAAATTCTTTGAATATTGGGAAGTTGGAAGACTCCTAGGGGCAGATACTAGTTTTCCAAAATTCTAATTTTTGCTTGAAAGATCAAATTTTATTATTGGCAACAAATTCTGTCATTTGTTTTCTTTGAAGTGACAGACTTGCTGTGTTCATTTTTGAGGAAATAGCTGCCAAATGCTCAAGTGTAAATACCCATAGTTCTTCCGCCAGTCCTTCTTTCAAGTGAGGATGGCGTCACATGAGACAGTGGCCAGTGCAACTCAAACCGTCACATGAGTGCTTTTCCTTAAGATAACTGTTGTGCTTCAGTCTGCAGAAGTGCTTTATGCCTGCTTCCCATTTTGTCACATGGACTATTAAAAGGACATGTAGTCAAGGGTTGAGATTTAGTAAAATTAATAATTTTTACTGCTTTATCAAGGATATTAAGTAAAACTGGCTTTTTTTTTTTTTTTAACTGCCAGTGTATGGTTGTGAAGAATACAACCTTAGTATAGTTTGGTGTCACTCATTGCCTTTATTTGTGCTAAGATGCCAGCAGTCTTATCTTCCACCATTGCTCTTGCAGTATTAAGTGCAAATGTCAACATAGCGAAAAAGACAAATAACATCTTGGTATTATTATGAGGGTAGTTTTGACCTCACAGGATTCCTGAAGGAGTCTCAGTAGCCTTTCCTCCTCCACCCCCAGGTCTGGATACCACACTTTTATATAGCTAGAAAAGCAGTTTGTCTAGCACCTGGCTTTTAAAAGCCCAAGAAAAGATGTTATACATTTTTTGAAGGAAAAATTATTTTATACCCAAATTTGCTTGTAAAAGGGTTTGAGGCAAGTAAAAATTAAGTGTGTAACCAAGGTAACAAATCTGATAATTAGCAGAATTTCTGATTTTCTTTCTTTTAAAACTTGCTTTACTAACTTTAATCATTTGGGGTGATTTTTAAGTAATTGTTAGTTGTGTAATTGGTAGGTGCTGGATTATATCTTTGGACAATCCATGATGTACAATTTTTAATAGGAGTAATAATGCTAGGGAATCTGGGTTAGGTTCACATTTTTGACAAAGTATATGTGGATGCTTATGTTCTGAGATGGTTAATAAGAATTTTTACTTATAGGTGCCCGAGAGTATCATGTCCAATTTTTTAGCAACCAGCCAGAGAGGGCATGGGTTCATGAAAAGCGGGTACGAGAGTATAAAGGTCATAAACAGTATGAAGAATTACTGGCTGAGGCAACCAAACAAGCCAGCAACCACTCTGAGAAACAAAAGGTAACTGACAACATATTAACAATATCAATCGAATATGGTTTTTAAAGGACTTAATAATTTAGTAGAACTTTTCATACTTGAATTCAGACAATTATTAGAATGATTTATTATTTTAACTCCTTTCAGTTTTAATAATTTATTGGAACTGTGTCAATAAGTTTTAATGTCATATAAACAACATTATAGTACTATTAAAAATGTTATCTTCTTAATTCAATGTTGGATTCTATTTTGGATTGAATTAATGTGCATACGTCTCGTAGATGCTAGTGAAGTTTGGATTTTGCCACAGATTTTTATTCTTTTTCCTATTTCATCATCTTTCCATGAGTCCCCTTTATTCTTACTTAGGAAAATTGTTTTCTGAAAGTAAAGTTTTTAAAATACTTACTGAACATCTATTGTGAGACAGGCACTGTTTTAAGCATTTTTTATATATTCGCTTAATCTTCATAACTTAAATGAGGTAGATACTATTATTCCTATTTCTACTGATGAAGAAATTAAGGCACAGAAAAGTTAAGTAACTGGTTCAACCAAGGTTACATAAGTGATAGAACCAAGAAATATGTTTGATGTGGTGGTGGATATTTAAGAATTTTGACATGAATTCTCTCCTGATAATCTCTCTGGTTGGGATTTTTAAATTCAACTTATTTTAGTGTGGGTCTCTTGTGATTCAGAAATTTGTCATATTTTTATGCTTTAAAAGCTAAATTTTATCACAGAGGATTTTGATTGATTTTGTCAGACTTAACATTTTGTAGATTTATATACATCAGTATTTGACATATACTCTACCATCTCATAGTTTCATTAGCTAATTTCTAACTGCCTCAGTCTAACCCCGTGGATAATTCCTAATTGCTTTGGTCATCTCATAGACCTTTATTCAAAGTTTTCTTATCTGTCTTGCCAATCCAAAGTCTTCTGATCAGTGTGGACGTAGAGACCTGTGGAAACTGTGATTCAGGTTTATTTTTTCCTTCATGCATTCCTGCTTTCCTGCGTCTTGTCGGCTTTCGTTTGTTCCACAGAGCTCTGTCCTCTCTCTTCGTTCTGCTCCTGCTTGCATTATGGAACAGCCTAGCAGCACAGCTTCACATGCTGGCCCTCTGCCAGCTGACTGTTGCTCTCTGTAGCACCCCTGAGCTTTAGGCTGTTGTTTTTAATGTTGGTGTTTTATTGGCCACTGAAAGTCATCATTTCTGTAATCTTTCTTCTCTTTGTCCTCATTATTGCTAGCTTTTTATGACTATGATGTCAGAAGGACGACTCCCTCTTTGAGGGACTTGTGCAGCAGAGTGGTCAACAAAGGATATATAAAAGAGAGTAGACCTGCGTGTCATCTGATAGTAATCCTGATTTATCAGAGTTACGGAGTTATAACATGTCATTTATTTGACTGAAGAGCCTGAAGATATTTATGTATACTAGAAAGATGACAAGATCACATGGGAAATACATATTGGTTTAAATATACCTGTTAGATTAAAACATGTACGATAATGCTTGTATCTTTTTTTTAAAGATTCGGAAACCCCGACCTCAGAGAGAACGTGCTCAATGGGATATTGGCATTGCCCATGCAGAGAAAGCACTGAAAATGACCCGAGAGGAAAGAATAGAACAGTATACTTTTATCTATATTGATAAACAGCCTGAGGAGGCTTTATCCCAAGCGAAAAAGAATGTTGCCTCCAAAGCTGAAGTTAAAAAACCCCGAAGACCAAGATCAGTGCTGAATACCCAGCCAGAACAGACCAATGCAGGTGAGGTAGCCTCCTCACTATCAGGTACTGACATCCGGAGACACAGCCAGAGGCGGCACACGAGTGTGGAAGAGGAGGAGCCCCCTCCTGTTAAAGTAGCCTGGAAAACGGCAGCAGCGAGGAAGTCCTTACCCGCTTCCATTACCATGCACAGAGGGGGCCTGGATCTGCAGAAGTGTAACATGTCTCCAGTTGTGAAAATTGAACAAGTGTTTGCTCTTCAGAATGCTACAGGAGATGGGAAGTTTATTGATCAATTTGTTTATTCAACAAAGGTACCTCCTTTTTTCATGGGTTTTTGGGGGGAACAGTATTTAATAAATAGTCAACCTTGGCATTTAAAAAAAAACAAACAACACAAGGTCATAATTTAAATATCCTTTGTATCCACTGCATTTGAAATGTGTAGTCAGTTTACTCTAAGATGGACCAGGAAAGACATAAGCAAAAAGGCTATGTTGTTGTTCTTTTTTTCCCCTCTTTTGTAATATCCCCATCTGTACTAGATTAATCTTGAGCTGTGCAGCCAAAATTGAGCTTTGCTCCCTAAAGTCTTGGGAAAAAACTGGGCACTTTGCCTGTTTCTAGTTTGTAAATTTTTCTCAGTTGCAAAGTGTGCTTCTTACTAAATCATTTTTGTCAGTTATCTGAATTAACCATTGTAATGATTGTACCTGCTGATCTGTTTGGTCGCACCAGCAATTTTGTTAGACTCACGTTGGCTTGGGATAGCTAATGCGTTTTAGAAAAATACCAGAACTATGTTTGTTCTACAACAATTAACTGTGGTGATACTTGGGTAATGGGGTGAAAATGGCCTCTTCAAACTGAATGCCTCCATCAGCCAGCCCTGGGCCTCCATTTAGGGCACTTAAACACTTTAGCTTTAAGACTTGAAAACTCTTTCATAACCTTTGTAATATTTATTCCCTATACCTCCTCACTACCCTCCCAGCCCATACCACAATCGTGGGCCTGTGAATTAGATTTAATGGCACCTCATAAATGTGTACTTTTAAAGAATTCTGTGCTTATTTCCTAACATTGTCATATGCTTATAAAATAATTAAATATAGGTATGCCTCATTAGTGATAATTTTCCTAGAGAGAAGTGTAAGGTCCTCTCTTAACCTGTTTTTGCCTGTAGGTTCAGCTGATTTCAGTAAGGCTAAGCTACTGGGAAAACTTAAGTTACAGTCCCCACTTGGTTCTGCTGATAGCTTTGAACAGCAAATGAATACTTTGCATTTTTTTTTAAATCCAAATTGGCTTTATTCTTGGAATTAGTTTTTATCTGCTTTTGGATGCACAAATCAAACTTTGTCACTCCCCCTCCAAAGAGTGCTACTTAAATGAAATTTGAGATAAAACTGATCTTTTAAAAGGAAAGCTTTAAAAATACATAAATATTTATAAATCACTCTTTTATTTCATTGCATTAAAAATACTTAAAATGAGACAGAAGTGTAATTGTACCTACCTTCTCTCTGCTCAAAGTTGCTTATTGGGTGCACATTTTGGTCACCATGAGTGGCATATTTCTGTATCTAAGGATATTCTTGTCTTTCAAGATGCGTTGACAGTTTTATCTGTGTAGTAGAGTACTTGACCAAATAGAAAGGACTAGAGTTCTCTTACTGTGATATGAGTAAAGGGAGAGACTATTCAGACCAGAAAATATTTTGTTTTTGACAGAAAACTAGGTAGTACAGGTTCATTTGTTTACATTTGTTCCACAATGATAATAGGTGATAGATATTCATCATCTAGACTTAGACAAAGTTTTTTTTTCCCCATGTAGTCTCATTTTATGTTTTAGAATACATCCTGATGACTTAATAAAATTGTTCTGATAATGGCTAAGACAATAAATTAACTGCAATCAAAGACCATACAAAATTCAACCAAATTATGATCATCTTAAGCTATCTTTCTAAGCAAATGATGCCATTTCCCCCTGGTAATCACCTGTTTTTTTAATTTATTTTGAAGGGAATTGGTAACAAAACGGAAATAAGTGTCAGGGGACAAGACAGACTTATAATTTCTACACCAAACCAGAGAAATGAAAAGGCAACTCAGAATATGTCATCTTCTGAAGTGACATCTGGTTCTACAGGTGGGTATGTATGAGGAGTAGATAGAGCCATTGTGAGGGGTCATAGTTCTATTCTACTGTAACATAGAAGCTATGTACCTAAGAAACTTTTAGTTATCACAATCAAAATATATTTAAATAAACTATAAAAGCAGTTATTTCAATAGGAAAGAATGGTTTCAAGGCTAGAAAGCCTTATTCATAGTAACAGGAATTTACTGGGGTTTTTTTTACTTATTTACTTATTTTTTCTACAGGAATTTAAATGATAGGAGGGTTTTATGATTAAGAGTATAGTTATAAAACCTATATATATCTGAGTAAATGCACCGTTTGATTATCTCTGTTTGCCTGAGAATAACAGCTTTACTTTTCCAGCACTATTAACACATTCTTACCATTTCCTCTTTTATCCCCTATTGGAAACAAATTGGCGGGTGCCCATGCTCTTTTCATAATTCTTAGGCGTGTTAGATGTTAGTAGCTGAGGGGCCTAGGGCATAACTCTCCTATTATAATCTGTTCTCTGATTAACAGATACCATGAATTGAAAATCAAGCTAGGGGCTGGCCCAGTGGCATAGTGGTTGAGTTCCATGTGCTAGCTTCAGTGACCCAGGTTCTCGGTTTTGGATCCTGGGCACGGACCTGCACCACCCATCAAGCCATGCTGTGGCAGGGACCCACATACAAACTAGAGGAAGATGGGCACAGGTGTTAGCTCAGGGCGACTCTTCCTCAAGCAAAAAAAGGAAGATTGGCAACAGGTACTAGCTCAGGGCCAATCTTCCTCACCAAAAAAAAAAAGAAAAGAAAAGAAAATCAAGCTATATTATTCTTGCTTAAAGGAGAAATGCCTATATTCAGTAAGATTGTGCCTTTGGAATAGTCAAAGTAATTTTTATTAAGAGACTGACTTACTAAGGACCTTAGAGTTTCACTGAGTGTCTGGTGGGTTTGGTTCATACAGCCATCAAGAAAAGAGTTAGATGTCAGCTAGCTTGGTCATTTGGAATCCTAGTTTAAGAGAAGGGAGTTTGTTACACTTTGTTCTTTTAAAAATTTTTTGAAATCGAAGAAGTGATCAAATAATTTTCTAGAAGGATTAAAGTCTTACAACCTGAGGTAGTAATCTTGAATCAGTAGTAACTCAGGCAAACCTGTGATTGAGTGGCACTAAGGGGTAAATATTTTCGTTAAGGGAAATGTTGAGTAAGATTCTCATTATTATAAAAGCTAGAGAAAAACAGTCATTGTTCAAGAAAGGACTTGGGCTAGCTTTCTTAGGAAAAAAAGTGATGAGGGCTGCAGACAGGGAGAGGTGGTGGCAGAGGAAATGGGCGTGTATTGGATGGGGCATATTAAACAGCATGCCTTTATGCAAAGTTGAGGTAGGAAAGGAAGCTCCAGTAAAGTAAGGAGGGAGTTGCAAAGTCCAGAACCAGATTTGCAACTTGTATCATTTCAAAATACTGTATAAAAAAATGAAATCATAATGTTGAAGGAATGAATAAATGGACTTGGAAGATTTTACGTTACTTAGCCATAATTGAAATGTTTGTTCCCTTCTTTGACTGTTAAAAGAATCTTTTGGCCTCAGCTCTCCCTAGTTAGGTATATCAGTTTCGTTACCTTTCTTTACACCAAACTGTTGGTAATTTGTCTGAATTTAAGTGTGACACTTAAGACTAGGAGGATCTTTATGTAAACATCTGCATTCTCCTAACTAGGGAGAAAGTAAATTCTTCATATAATATTAGACTGATCTTAAATAGTATACGTTTATTTTTAAAAGACCTTGTTTTTTCCTTCCCCTCAGCTACTGAACATTTTATTTTCATGTAGTCTTTTCATTGTAAGATTTAAGTTCTATGAATTTTCTTTTTCTTTTTTTTTTTAAGTGAAAGGTAAAGTGGAAGGTTATAATTCTTTATATCTGGGAAAAGCCCAGGTACTTCCTTACATAGGCACATATAATTAGGTTGTAAATTAATGTTGGAAACTTAATTTAGGGATAAGTGCTCTAAAGCTTTGACCTTGATTTAAATTTGGTTACTAGCTGTGGTTGATAAGCATATTTTGTCTTTTTAAGTAACCATTTTGCTTCTTGTGAAAATAAGTTCAGTAGTTGAAAAGTCAGAAAAGAGACTTGATCTCCCTTCAGAAACCAATTGCATCATCATCTTGGTTGGTGTTAACTACTTAGAATTCTTGAGCCTTTTCCTAGTAAATTTAGGGGATACATAGAGTGTGTGGCACTGCTAGATTTCTGTGATTTGAAGAATTGTATTTGCATTTATACTAGATTTCTAAGCTATTATCCAAATCCAGAGATGCTCACCTCCTGTCTCTTAGAACATAAATATAATACTTGTTAGTGGTTTTAAATGTATTTATGTGTTCTTCAGGTAGCTTTCAGAATAATTTTAAGTCATGTTGCCTATCTTCTTTAGGACAGTAGATTAAATATCGTCTGCACTTGATGGAACAATTATGTTGTCATCCTCAAAGATATTTGTTTGTTTTAAGTAGTTCTATTTTCATTTTCCTCTTCTCTGGTAGGTAATTGAATATTGATTATACTAAAGAATGGATCTCTGGGATACTCAAGTGTCTATGAGGGTAGGATGCCTGTTGTCTTAGTAAGCATTTTCATCAGTGTAAGGAGAAGAGTGAGAGTAAAGGAAGAAGCCAACACCTTTGTTTGTGACTTCTCTGCTAGAAATTGATTAACCACAGCTCAGAACCAATATATTATTATCAAACTACCTACTCCTTCCCAAAAACAAAAATATTAGGATCCTTCTTTGTTTTGGCTTTGAACTAAGGTGAGGAAGCCATTTACACATAAACAAGAACAATGAAACCAGAAGATATACCGGTGATATGGACTGCTTTATTGAAGTAGCTTCTGCCTGATTTTATAGGAGGTCTTAGCAGCTTTCTCCTCTGGCAAGCAAAAGGTTATTATTATCTAAGAAGGACCATTTAAGTGGTCCAAGCAGTAAAAAGATGGAGAACAGCTGCATTGAAGATATCATTCCTTCTAAGGGTCACAGAATGAAATCATTCCTGACTTAGTATTCTTTCACATTGTGGTCTTCAATCTAAGTTTCATCCTTTCCAAAATGGAGTCCATGTGAGTTTTCCTCTGTTTACTTTCAAACAGTTTTACTGTTTAAAAATCTTTTTTTTTTATCTTATTTTAAGAAAAAAATTTTTTTTTAATTTTTTATTTATTTATTTTTTCCCCCAAAGCCCCAGTAGATAGTTGTACGTCATAGCTGCACATCCTTCTAGCTGCTGTATGTGGGACGCGGCCTCAGCATGGCCGGAGAAGCAGTGCGTCGGTGCGTGCCCGGGATCCGAACCCAGGCCGCCAGCAGCGGAGCGTGCGCACCCAACCGCTAAGCCACAGGGCCGGCCCAACTGTTTAAAAATCTTAATGGTTTCTTGTTTTACCATTTAACATGAAAAAGTTTGATAATTTGTTTCAACTAGTTTTCCATGACTAATTATTTCTAAAGTATCACAAGTCCCTGGATAATCAATGATTCGGTTTGGATCACATTTATGTGCCTTTCCTGCTTTTTTCCCTTTGGTTGTTAATAATATAACAATAGCAAAACTTATGTAAGTACACCAAGCACTGTTAAGTATTTTACATATAGAATTAATTTAATTCACTTTTTAAAATGCAAAATATGTAGTACTGATTGAATTTTGAACCAATAATTCGTAATGTGAACTGAGAATAAAGTCATTTTCATCCATCCCCTCAATCCCTTCATCCCTTCAATTGTAGTTACCTAAGTGTATTTATCTGCTTTTAAAACTAAACTATGTGTCTGCTATTCTAGTATGACTTTATAATTTTTAAAAATCCAGTCCTTCTTTATCTGTATGATTTAGAGTCCTTTATGAATCCCAGTCTCAACCTTTCATCCTTTACAATTTGATCTGTAAAATTTTTTATGTGCTCCCAAGTATTTAATAGCTTTTTAATGATTTATAATTAAAAGACCAAAAGTAATGGATAAGAAAAGCAGGGAATTTGGTCAAAACTTAATTACATAAATGTCAAGGCATCCTTAAATGAGTTTTTATTTGTTTGTTTGTTTAAATCATCTCTTAGGCTCAGTAGAAAAGAAGCAACAGAGAAGATCAATTAGAACTCGTTCTGAATCAGAGAAATCCACTGAGGTTGTGCCAAAGAAGAAGATCAAAAAGGAGCAGGTTGGCTTCCTACATGTAAAGAGTTAAAACATTGTATTTGTAAATGTTGTGGCTTATATTGGTATCTTAAAAGAAAGAGAAACTTTCCCCACACTGGGTTTCCTTTCTGGACTATCTTATGCTTCTGTCCTGGTGAATTCCAGTGCCCAGTTCTAATACAACCATCCCTGTGATTCTGCTTCAAGCATTTTCACAGAAAACAGGCTTCAGGAGATGGGAAGCCAGTGGTGCAAGACTCTTAAAGAATTCCTCACATTTATTTTGAAATTTCTGTTATGAGCAAAATGATTTCATGTTTTCATGATTTTTATTTGGAACCATCAATAAGTTCCTTTTTTTTTTTTTTAATTTTGATTTTTGGTTTAAGCTGCTGGTATATATTGTTTTTATTTTTTAAACAAATCAAATTAATTTATAAGAGTTATATTTAAGAAACAGATAATCATAGATGATCTGGTTTTTCTGTTGGTATCACAGATTTTTTGGAATGTTATTTTCCCAGTGGAATGGCACTCACCTGTTATTGGGTTATCAGATAAGTGCTCTTTAGATAAAAAATAAGAGGAGAGGCATTTTGACTGAAGGGTATTAAACCAGTGTAATCAATGTAGTAATATATATATTAGCTTCTCAAAATAATTTTTAGAAACCATTACTCATTTAAATTCAACTCACAATCAGAATTTTTCTTAATTTTTTAAAGTGAAAGAGTATCCATTTTTACAGCCCAGACAGTTGCTATTAAACAAAAAGAATTCTGAATAGTATCAGTTCCAATAAGCTTTATATTTTTAAACCATTTAATATGGAAGAGTGTGAACTCTTCTATTTAAATTATTTCCTTCATAATTTTAAACTCCCAAACTTAAAAGGTGACTTTGTGGGTGCTCTGTGGTATCATCAATCATGTAAAACAATTTTCCCAAAAATATTTAACTAAAATTTAAATACTATACTAATTTGTCATTCATTTATCATAATTTACTTTCATACATAGGAAATTATATTCCAAAAAATCTTTCTAAGCTCTTGCAGATCTACAGTATTCAGTACCAAAATGGAGTTGTGATTTTGCCAGCTGGTTCCCAAATTCAGTCTGTGACTAGTCAGTTTAAAATTAACAAGCAGAATGAGTACAAAAAAATGGGACAAATTGTTAATGCCACTGTGTTATAGTTAGTAGTAGAACAATACCAGTGATTGTTTAGAAGATTTTATATTTGTATTACTTAATTGTATCTTATAAAAGCACTTCTGTTGTATGTTTTTTTACCTGTTGTAAAAAAAAAATAAAATTTTTTTTAAAAAGCTTAGAACAATCCTTAAATATTTACAAAATGTGTTTCAACATGCATATTTCACCACATCTTAAAGAAACATACAATTCAATTCGTAGCTTAAACAGGAACTCCTCCAAACAGCATCCTTTCTTTAATTCCAATGGTTCAATCCTCAAATTACCACGTGTTTTACATATACATTGGCAGAATAACTTCTGATCTCGCTCTCCTAATGTAGGATCAAGACACTGTTCATAAGACACTCAAGAAAGTGCTTTTGCAATATCACAAACTTATTTTCTTAAGTTTGTACTTAGCAGCAAAAGTATTGAGCTTCCAGCTGTATGGAGCCCTGTAGCACTCTCTACAGAGAGGGTCCTGATTCCCAGCAACTTAGCTGTGAGTGCAGGCGCGGAAGGGTCTTAAAGTGGCGTGAGTTACATTAACCTGAGTATCATAGTAAGTAAAAATTTATCCTAATGTCTTTGTGGCGGGAGGGGTTTATAGCAACATTGGGGCTGGTTGCAGAAACAAACCCTCTCCTGCCTCCCAGACACTGAGGAAAGTATCTTGTTCTCTTCATATACCAAGGGAATGGTGGGAAAAGTCTTTGCTAGCAAGCATGTGGCTGTGTGTTGTCACTTGGTATTCAGCACAGGCAGCTAGGATTTAAACCCTCCCTTACCTTGAGACAGAGAACTTTACCCAGAAGATGGGACTGAGCTCAGATTTCAGATACATTAATCACTCATCATTACTTAGATTGATGGAAGTATTATTTTTTTCCCTCTGTTAATTAAAAGTGAAAAAAAATCCCTATTAATGCTGTATTTTTTTGTCCAAACAGGTTGAAACAGTTCCTCAGGCTACAGTGAAGACTGGATTACAGAAAGGTGAGTTATTATAATGTTACTTTGCATTTCCTCGATTAAAACCAATTTTAAAGAATTATTTGTACTTCATGTATTTTTGTTTGTCTCTGTAAATCATTGTTGTTGCTCTTCAGTCAATAATCTGTGTGAAATTGAAGTATTCCCCGGTGTTTGTGTGTGTGTGTGTGTGTGTGCGTGTGTGTATGACTTTTAGAGTTGATCTTATTCTGTACCTCCATGTGAAAAGTCTTATTTGTTTTGGTAAATTGGAGAACACCACGTAGACTTGATACTGTTTCCAACTTTTTTCCATAAGATTCTTGGGTTTCACTGGTTTATAAACTAGGGATGTGACGAATCCACTTTTTTTGGTATTCGACTGAATACCGAATAGTAGCTATTAATGTTTGTCAAACATGGACTATGACAAATCAGACAAGACAACCTGATTGAAAAAAAAATCTTGCCACGTTTATTTTTACAGTGCTGTAAAATCTTTTTGTAAATTAAAATGATTCATAGCATATTTATGGCCATTATTAGATGACCTTATGCAAATCTATTTGAGATATGCACAAAGTTTAAGAAACCTTAAACTTATATCTGTATTTTCCGTGTGCAATTTGACTACAGTACAAACTCCATAGCATGATTCGTGCGTTTTTGATGAGATCATTCAGACTGTATTTAATACCTGTAGTTTACTCTGGGCAAATTGCATTATTTAAAAAAAAAAACACCAGCCTCTCTGCATTCTCGGGGAGAAGTCTGCAGCGATGGTCTCCGTGGAGATCCTCAGCAGAACTGAACAGCCTCTCGGAGGGAACACTGCTTGGCGGAGCTCCAAGAAAAGACATCGCGATCGCTGCGAGATTAGGAGGCCTGATTGCGTTGTGTTTCCACCATTCCACAGGGTCGGCGGACCGGGGAGTGCAGGGCTCTGTCAGATTCAGTGACAGCTCCGTCTCCGCAGCGATTGAGGAAACTGTGGACTGAGATTCCTGTACAATTTCATCCCAGAAACTCCAGACTTGTAGTCTCCATGCAAGATTTCTTTGTCGGCGGCTCGATAAACAGTTTCTTTGTTTTCAATTTTGATTTTGCCAATCATTATTGGCATATTCCTGCCTGGTTTCTTCTTCAAGACTCTGAACAATTGCTTTAACGTTCAAATGATTTTTTTTTTGGTCTGAGCTGGATGGGTACAGCTTAAATCATGGGTCCAGCCTAAAAACCACCGTTTAACTTACACTGATCAATTTCAACATGGACTGTTTTTTTGTTTTTTGTTTTTAAATAAAGCATCATTAATGCACATCTGCAGGGTTTTGCCAAACAGCCCAAACTGTATACATTACAATCATTAAAAGCTCTTATTTTTTTTAATATTAGTGCCGTTATCATGGAGAACAGCATGGCAGCTGTCTTTGGCAGTCTGTCATTTTTCTAGCATTTTCAGAAACTCATCGGAAATGGCGGTACCTGTGTTTCCCTTCGAAAGCCTCTCAGTACAGCACTCCTGTTCCTCTGTTAAAACTCCTTGTTAATCCAGTGATCTTTTAGGCCAAGGAAATATTTTGTGGTGGTGTCCTGGGTCCATACACCAGCAATGAAGGAGATAGATTTGTGTACTTGTGTTTTTTAATCAGCGTTAACATGGGCAGGCACCCTCATTTATAGATGTAAGGAAGCTTTCAGTGAAAACCTTGTAGAATGGGATGTGATAACGAGGTTCCAGTAATCTGAGCATTCTAAAGAGGCCCACATCCTCCACCACAGAACATGGTATATGTCAAGTGCTGCTCTCACTCAGCCTCTTGCGGATCTTCATGGCCTCAGGAGACTTGTTTCTCCATGGTCTCTTCTGGACTGCACACTTCCACCATAGCTTGCTGGGCTGATCTAGATGTCTGTTTGTTGTATGGAAATTTTGGGGGAAAAATCCAAAACACAAACTGTGGGTTGAAATATTAACCGTCTCCTTGGTTCCTTGGTATTCACCGTGCCTGATCTGCACATTTCATCGTGGCTGTTTCTGTATAGCCTATACTGCATTAGCCCAAGAGATTGTTGCTTTGTAACTTTTTGCACTATTGTTTTGGCTGGATTTGTATTACACACAGTTTTAAAAAAAAATTCCACACTATTCTCTGCCTTTTTTTTTTTTCATATTTATTCCTTCCCGCACAAATTCCACATAGAGGCCTCTCATCCAGCTCTTCGTGATTTGGCTGCATTTGAACATTGATTGTCTGTTTACAACCCTCAGCAATGTGCCTCCTAAATGGCATGACATATGTAGATGTGCTGCAGCACTTGTTAATGATCACAATAAATGCCACTTCACCAAGGAAGTCTCAGATGAACAATTATGAACATCCAAAATTTATTTGGGGGGCAATAATCAATTGAATTGCAAAATTCGGGGGAAAATGGCACTATCCGTGTACGAATCGAATACAAATCAAAGATTTGTCACATCCCTAATAAAAACAAGATGGAGATGTCTCTGCGACCATATTTGTAAGCGACATAGTGTGTTGGGTTTTATGTCTTCCCCCTCCAAATTGAATGGTTCTTTGGATTGCTCCAACTCAATCAGCTATCCTACAGTTTTGATAGAATTGGTTTTTAGGTTGGAACTTGGGCTCTGTTGACTGAAAATAGCTTTAGAGCAGGAGCACTGAATTAAATGTTTTAATAGAGCGGTTGTAAATGAAATCACTCACTATCAGGAAGGTCAGAAGCTTATGAAGTTTTGACTCATGACCTCAGCCTTACAAAGAGAGCTGTGCTTTTTTCACACTACAGATGAGTTTGGGGAAAGAAAATATTCTCCCACAAAAAAATTAAAACAAACTTTAAGCACTATTTTAGGATTAATTTCGGTGTGTTGTATTAAGGTGCCAGCGAGATTTCAGATTCCTGTAAACCTCTAAAGAAAAGGAGTCGCGCCTCAACTGATGTAGAAATGACTAGTTCAGCATACAGAGACACCTCTGACTCCGATTCTAGAGGACTCAGTGATCTGCAGGTAAATAAAACATGTTCAAGGGTCTGGGCACAGTGCTCTCTTCTGCTTTGTAAAACCAAGTAACATAATCCTTTGACTGACTTATTTGGGGGAGAATTTTTTAAATATTCATAGTAAACGAATCATTTTGGTTATTTTGTAACTTATGAGTGTCTTAATTTTGCTAGTCTCTTATATAACAGAAGCATAGGTGGTTTTTTAATTTTAACTACAGTTTCTCTCAAAACACCAGACGTTTGGTATCCAGGGGTTTTAGAAAGAAAGAAAAAAAAGTGTTTATACCAAGGTTTATTTGAGCATGTCTTACTAGGATTTTCATAGCACCTAACTTTGAAAAAATTTGTTTTGTTTTTCTTAAAACTGTGCTATGTTTTCCATGTAGGTAGGCTTTGGAAAGCAAGTAGATAGCCCTTCAGCTACTGCAGAGGCAGACGTATCTGATGTGCAGTCCATGGATTCGAGTTTGTCAAGAAGAGGCATTGGAATGAGTAAGAAGGACACTGTGTGTCAGGTAGGCAAGTGACCTATCCTGTAGCTTGAAACAGTTGCTGTCATATTCTGCCAATAATATACTTACTTCCTGTTGGAGAGGGTAGTGTCTTTCTAAATTATAATATTACTTTAAAGCTACAAATCTAAAAGCCATTTCTGGCTCTTTTCTTCCCTTTCTGAGTTGGAATACTTATTATTCACATGCAAGTGCCAATCTTTACTGTTATACTCTTTTATTAATTGGAAGTAAATGGCAGATGACTGATTTCAAAAATTTTTTTTTTAATTTAAGTTGGTATTAACTTTTTTAATGTATATTTACTCTTTTTGAAAAATACTGCTTTGCCCTGTGAAGAAAAGTTAAAGTATGCAGATTTCAAAGAAGGAATCATAAAAGATCAAGTATGACTTTTAAACTTTATACTGTATTGGGCCTGGAAATAGTTATATAGTTCTGTGGGTTTCATAATTTTATTTATTTATTTATTTTCCCCCAAAGCCCCAGTAGATAGTTGTATGTCATAGCTGCACATCCTTCTAGTTGCTGTATGTGGGACGCGGCCTCAGCATGGCCAGAGAAGTGGTGCGTCAGTGCACGCCCGGGATCCGAACCCGGGCCGCCAGCAGCAGAGCGCGTGTACTTAACTGCTAAGCCACGGGGCTGGCCCTATAGTTCACTGGGTTTCAAAGTGAGGGCCAAGGACCAGCAGCATCAGTGTCGTCAGAATAATTGTTGGAAATGCAGATTCTTGGGCCCCACCCTAGACCTACTGAATCAGAAACTGTGGGAGAGGGACCCAGTAATCTGTGTCTTAACAGGCCCTCCAGGTGGTTCTGATGCCTGCTAAAGTTTGAGAACCACTGCTTTTTGCCATATTACAGATCTGTGAAAGCTCTGGTGACTCTCTGGTTCCTTGTGAGGGAGAGTGCTGCACACACTTTCACCTGGAGTGCCTGGGATTGACATCACTCCCTAATGGAAAGTTCATCTGCATGGAATGTAAAACTGGTGAGCTTACTGATTTCAATAGATATGAAAAGATGGATGGGGAGGAATGTGCAATGCCAGCATCTCCCATGACATCTAATTCTCTTACCACTTTTATGTAGCTCTTATCCTCTTCTCCCATAGGTATTTCAACAAATTAAAACCATTCAGTGATTGGGCTTCCTAAGATCAAAAGAGTACTCAGGAATATTATTGTCAAATTTCCTCCTACCAGTGCCTTTACCATAAAATCTATCAAATTATTGAGATGTATTTGTGTGTTATCTGAAGAGCTATACAAAGTATGTAGAGTGAATTAATTTTCAGATGAGTTTGAGATTTTTGTGCTCAATAAATTGCTTTAAAGTCCCTTGTCTTTAAGAGACTGGAATAAGTGTCGATCACAAACTATAACCATGGTGTGATTGTATTTTTAGTGGAAAGATGGAGCTACTGGAAATTGTTTTTAAAACATGGAGATTTTGGATTCACCATTTATTTCTAATCTTTCCATGTAGACTGTCACCTATCAAAATAATTTATGGAGAAAGAAGTATGCAAGTTTATGTTCTCTGTGTGGCCATGAGTCTAGTTAAAGTCATGGAAAGCAGGAAGTAGAGTTGTGTAATCTGTATCAAGGCAAGTGAAAAGTCAACTGGAGATGGCATGGTAGTGCTTCTATGAGCCATGTTTGTGTATTTTGGGGGTTTTGTTTTGTTTTGTTTTTGCTGAGGAACTATGAGCCAATTGGATATCAAGTATTTAGGATACACTGATCTTACCCTTGACACTTTGTTATTTTCACACTCCTTTTTCCCCTTTATTTGGATTCTCATAAGTATTTTATCCTTTTTTATTTGACTGTATGCCTCCCAAAATCCTTTATATGTTCTAAATTCCATTAGAATGGTAATTTTTTTTTACACTTACTGTATGCCAGGTGCCGTTGGTACTAAGATTTTGTTCTGTTGTCTCATTTGGTCCTCATAGCATGATGAGATAGATTCTGTTACGATTTCCATTTTACAGTGGGTGAAACTGAGGATTAGAGAGTTTAGTTTAGTACCTTGCCCAAAGTCACAAAGGCAGCATTTGAAACTGGGATTTAAATCCAGGAGGCAACTTGATGCCAGAGTCCTTGCTGTTTACCATTGCCTTCTACCACCTTGACTAAGTAGGATGGAGGTCATATATCATATATCTTAACACACACATACTCTCTCTCTCACATACAAACACACGCCAAAATTAAGCTATAGAAGCTGCTTAAACATATAACTTACATCTTTCCCTATGTAAAATATCATTTTATTCATCACATTAAGATTCTGCATGTATCTCAGTATTAAAACATTCTTGGAGCTTTTCTTCTAACTCTAGAAACCAACAGAATTCTCCCAACAAAGGTTAGATATAATCTAATTTGGTATACATCTATTAGGGAATTTAAGAGGGAAATTTGCTTTAAAAACAGTTAAGTAGAACAAAGTTGGAGGATTCACACTTCCTGATTTCAAATTTACTACAAAACTACAGTAATTAAAACGGTGTGGTACTGGCATAAAGACAGATGTATAGACCAATGGAATAGGGAGCCCAGAAATAAACATTCACGTATATGGTCAGATGATTTTTGACAAGGGTGCAAAGGCTATTCAATGGGGAAAGGACAGTCTTTTCAACAAATGGTGTTGGGAAAACTGGATATCCACACGCAAAAGAATGAAGTCGGATCCTTACCTAATGCCGTATACAAAAATTAATTCAAAGTGGATCAAAGACCATAACGTAAGAGGCACAGGCAACAAAAGAAAAAATAAACAAATTGGACTTTATCAAAATTAAAAACTTTGTACACCAAATGACACTATCATCAGAGCAAAGAAACGACCCACAAAATAGGAGAAAATATTTGCAAATTTGATAAGGGATTAATTTCTGGAATATATAAAGAACTCCTACAGCTCAACAACCAAACAACCCAATTCAAAATTGGGCAAAGGACTTGAATAGACATTTCTCCAAAGAAGATATACAAATGGCCAATAAGCACATGAAAAGATGTTCAACATCATTAGTGATCAGGGAAATGCAAATCAAAACCACAATGAGATGCCACTTCACATCCATTAGGATGGCTATTATCAAAAAAACAGAAAACAAGTGTTGGCCAGGATGTGGAGAAATTGGAACATTTGTGCACTGTTGGTGGGAATGTAAAATGGTACAGCCACTGTGGAAAACAATATGACAGTTCCTCAAAAAATTAAACATAGAATTACTGTGTGATCCAGCAATTCCTCTTCTGGGTATATATCCAAAAGAATTGAAAGCAGGGACTCAAACAGATGTTTGTATACTCATGTTCATTGCAGCATTATTCACAATAGCTAAAAGGTGGAAACAACCCAAATGTCCATCACTGGATAAATGGGTAAATAAAATGTGGTATGTACATAAAATGGAATAGTCTTCTGCTTTAAAAAGAAATGAAATTCTGATACGTGCTACAACGTGGATTAAATGAACCTTGAAGACATTATGCTGAGTGAAATAAGCTAGTTACAATGGACAAATACTGTATGATTCCACTTATATGAGTTTCCTAGAGTGGCCAAATTCATAGAGACAGAAAGTAGAACAGTTGTTACCAGGGATTCAGGTGCGAGGGGAGAGAGGAATGGGGAGTTATTGTTCAGTGGGTACAGAGTTTCAGTATGGGATGATGAAAAAACTCTGGAGATGTATAGTGGTGATAGTTGCAAAATAATGTGAATGTATTTAATGTCACTGAACTGTACACTTAAAATTGGTTAAGATGGTAAATTTTATGTTTTTAACCACAATTTAAAAAACAGTGACCTTTTGTTTTTTAAGTTGCTTTTGATTTATTATCACATGAAAATTAGTTTGATACCAATTTGATACACTTCCAACATATTAGGAATGAAAACTTAGATTCTTCAAACCATTGTTTAAGGTCATTTAGAAAGTTTTCTTTTGTTTATCAAAAGATAAACACTTTATGTGTAAAAAGTATTACAGGATACATGCCTAATAAGTTCTTATACTACCACTTTCTATTGTTTAAAACAAATGTGCTTTCTGGAAAGAAAGCATTTTCATTTGCTCTTTTGAATAAAATGTCTAACAGGCAATTTTACTTATTGCTTCCTTACTCTAAATGAAGGCCATGTCCTAATGAGAAGGGAGGGCACTGGAAGCATTCACATGCCAGAGCTCTGCACCTAAGTCTTAAAGGGGTTTGATAGTTCATCTCTCTCTTAGTGTAACAGTATCGCTAGTTAAAACAATTTTCATTTATATTAGACTTATTTTGATCATTATGCAAGTGAAAGCCTATTGCATTTTTCCATAAAGCAGTTTATCATTAGGCAAAGCTGTAAAGTAAAACCTCTTAATCTTTAAAATAATTTTCTTTTAATTTTTTAAATTTCTAAAAGTTATTTTAAAAACAATACAGCTTTCATATCTACATATATGTTAAAATATAATTTGAAATTACATATATGCAACAGGACAACAAAAAACCTTGCTTTATTTTATTTCTATAACAGCCAGTTTGAAAAAAAATTTTTTTGAACATCATAGTTGTAAGTACTAATTTTAAAGAATTTTTATAATTCAGCCAATTTTAAAGATTAGGTACTTCCAAAACCAAATCTAATTTTCTGTAAAAAACAAAAATCAAAACAAAAAACTATTTCTTGTATTTTTTCTTCAGATTTTTTTATAGCATTATAAGAAAAATGGGCAAAAGACTTGAACACTTCCCAAAAGATGATATCCAAAATGCCAAAAACTAATCACTTACAATTTCCATATGTAAAACAGACACAAAATGAAAACTCATAATCCTAATAAAAAACGCAGAAAATTACAGCTAGACATCTTATTCAAACTGTAGAAAGTCGAGGACACAAAGAAAATATTAAAATTACCCACAGAAAAGACAATTACCTTCAAAGAATAACAAAACCAATAACAAAAATGTTATAATTTGCAGTTCTTTGTTTACAACTGAACATATTTTTCTGTATCTTTATTGACTCTCTTGTGAATGGTCTGTTCACGTGTCTTGTCCATTTGTGTACTGCAGTGTTAAAGGTGTTCTTATAATTTGTTAGTGTTTTAAATTTATATCTAATCACACAAGTAATACATAAACACAGTGTTATGAAAATATTATAATTATAGCTCAAGCTGCAGTCCCCCTTGATCATCACTCTCAGTCCTAGGCCCCTACTTAACTCTAGCCCTCACCAGAGGCAACCATTGGTAGCAGTTTGGTGTGTAGCCTTGTAAACCGTTTTCTCTGTGTGTGTATGTGTGTAACATTTTTGTGTGTTGTAATAAAAATATACATTGTTCTGCAGCTTGCTTTTTCCCTGAGTTTGTCGTGGAGCTCTTCTTATGTCAGTACAGATGCATTCTGTTTAATTGCTGCATAGTGTTCCATAGTGTGCATATATCATAGTTTATTTAACTATTCCCCTATTGAAGGATGTGTGAGTTACTTTCAGTGGTTTGCAGTTACAAACAATGCTTCAGTCAGCATCCTTTTTCATGTACAAGTCTTCCCTATTGTAGGTAGCAGGAGTAGAATTTCTAGGCCACAAGAAGTGAATGTTCCTTTATTTCAGTGGATACTGCCCTGTGCCTTCTAAGGTGGTTCCTTCCAACGTAAACTCCTGTCAGCAGTATATGAGAGTACCTGTTTCCCTACTCCTGATCAACAGCTGCTATTATCAAACTCCTTAAGTTTTTTCATATTTGATGAATTTTTTGAATGTTACCTGTGGTTTTAATTAGCATTTATCTGATTACAAGTGAAGTTGAGCATTTTTTCACATGTTCATTGGCTGTCTTTCTGCTTTCTGTAAATTACCTGTTCATACCCTTTGCCCACTTTTATATTGGGCTGTTTTGTTTCTGTATTGATTTATAGCTCTTTATAAGTCTTGTTTAGTTATCTTTGCTTATATATGTTGCATGTATTTTCTCCATATGTGAACTCTTTACATAACAAAACATAATCCTTTGTCATCTTTGTTGCATATATTTTTCCACATCTGTTTGTCTTTTACTTGTTCCTTCTTTTTTTTCTATTCTCTTCTATTCTAATTGGCATTATTTCTTTGTTTGACTATTTGGCAGATTGACCAGTGGAGCCATCTGGGCTTAAAGTTTTTTTTTGTTGGAAGGTTTTTAATTTTAGTTTCAATTTATTTAATAGTTTATAGAACTATTCATATTTTCTGTTTCTTTTTGTGCCAGTGTTGGTAAGCTCTGTTTTTCTAGGAATCTGTCCATCTACATTTTCAAATTTATTAGCACAAATGTAGTGATATCCTTTTATTATCTTTTTAACATTTGTAGGATTTGTATTGATGTACCATTTTCCATTTCTGATATTGTTAGTATTGCCACTTTTTCTCCCTTTTTTTATTAGTCACTTTTGACAGGGATATCAGTTTTATTAATCTTTTTTCAAAGCACCAAGTTTTGGTTTTGTTATTCCTCCCAGTGTATGTTGGTTTCGCCTCCTTCTTCAAGAGTGCTTTCACTGGGTGTAGAATTCTGGCTTGGTAACAATTTTCTTTCAGCCCTTTGAAGATTGCATTCCATTGTTTTCTGGCTTCCATTTTTCTCTTTCAGTCAGCTCTCAGTCTTACTGTTGCTTCTTTGAAGGTAATTGTCTTTTCTTTGGGTAATTTTAATATTTTCTCTTTGTGCTTGATATTCTACAGTTTGAATAAGACATCCACGTGTAATTTTCTGCATTTTTTATTAGCATTATGTGTTTTCTTTGTGTGTCTGTTTTACATATGGAAATTGTAAGTGATTAATTATGGAATCTGTCTTTTCTTTGGAAATTTCTTTTATTTATTCTGTGTTGGGAAGACTTTGCCATTCTCAGTTCCCAGGTATTGAAAAATTCTGTTCTGGGTTTTCTTTGGAATTATTTTTAGTATAGAGCGAGAAGTGGAGATCTGAATTGTTTTTAGTGCTATATCTCCAAATTGATTATCAATTATTGTAGCAAATCAATTATTCTAGCAAAACTTATTAAATAATATTTCAATTTAACCATTTATTTTCAATGCCTTTTTTGTATGTTAAAAACTTACACATAATAGTAGAGTCTCTTATGAAGGTAGCTCTTTGATGTCAGCAGCTGCTTCTATTTAAAAGGCATATGCTTTAATCAGATTTTATTTAATCTGTATTCCTTACCCATTTTCCAGGGCAGCACCCATGTTTTTCATGTAAGGTGTCTGGTACAGATGTAAAGCGTTGCTCTGTTGGTGCTTGTGGGAAATTTTACCATGAAGCCTGTGTCCGCAAATTCCCTACTGCCATCTTTGAATCAAAAGGATTCCGCTGTCCCCAGCACTGCTGCTCTGCCTGCTCTATGGAGAAAGATATCCACAAAGCAAGTAAAGGTAAAACAGAGCTAAAAGAGGGGACAAAGATTTTTTTAAGTTCAGTAGCAAATAACAAGCACATTATTTTAAAGAACATCGGGCATTCTTCAGTCTGTCTTTCTGTAGAGATAACAGCTCCGTCACAGTAGAGGGCACGGTAAGTAGAAATTAGGTTCTCATTCAGACCATGAGAAGAGAATTCCATAGGTTCAAAATTACCCTGGAAAATCCCTGAAGCAGGTGCCCTGTTGGAGACCACTGTCTCTCCAGCACTGGGGCAGACAGATTGTTTTGAGTGGTCTCTAGGTGGGTGCTGCATGTGGGGGCCATCTAGCACAGGAATGACAGAACCAAACTAGTGAAGAGAAATATTTTTATGTTACTGTAACCAGTATAACTTGGGACCCCAAAAGAGCCCAACTCCAAAAATCTCATTTTGTATCCAGCTGATGCCTTCTTAGATAGATTCCTTTTTGACTTGTCTTCAACAGGTCGCATGATGAGGTGTCTGAGATGTCCAGTAGCCTATCACACTGGAGATGCTTGCATTGCTGCTGGAAGTGTATCTGTGTCCTCCTACGTTCTCATCTGTAGTAATCATTCCAAACGGAGCAGTAATTCTTCCTCTGCTGTAAATGTAGGCTTTTGTTTCGTTTGTGCAAGAGGTGAGTGTCAATCTTTTCTCTTTCTTTCTAAGTTCATTGACATATTTCCCCATTAAAATAGAGTTTCATTAATATCCCAAGAGAGATTAACGCTTCCAGTAACTAGTCCCTTTTATAACATTAGACATTCAAATTGTTAGAATATTAATTCTTCCATAAATTAAACTAGAATCTGCATTTTTTTAATAACATAGAATTATAGATAAGTTCTATTTGGAGCATCAAAAGATTAATCTATTCCCTTCTACAAACAATTCTTCTATTCGAAGCAGACTCTTCCCACGACATATTCTTTAATCCTGAGCTTTCGACTGATTGAGATTTCACTTGGAAGGCAAGACTAGCACATTTATTTTTTAATTGTTTATGTTGTATTTTATCCTGTTTTGGTCTGGCGTTGAGGAAGGCCTGATGGGATACAGCCAAGGCAACATATGTGGTGGCGGTAGTGAGGAGCCAGCAATGCAGGCTTTCTTACTTGCCAGCTCTTGATATTTAAGTGTGCCAAGAGACTGAACAACTGAAAACAGTATTGTGTCCCTGAGGGGGTCAGTGAACTTGAGTTCATGATAATATAAAATAGAACTTCTTTAGTTGAATATGATAGAGAGTATCCAGCTTTATAGAGTATCTCAGCTGTATTATAATAAAAACAATTTTTAGTATTTAGTAGGTATTTTAAAAACCAACTATTATCCCCAAATGCATTTTTTTTTTTTTAATGTAAGTGCTACGTTTTCTAAAATTCCCTAAGTGTGAAATATTTGAAAGGACTCAGGCATATCAGGCCTGTTAGATTATATTTAGACTATACTGAAGATGAGGTTTTTGGTTTTGTTTTGCTTTTTGCTTTAGGAGACAGTTCTTTTAATTTGGTGAAAGTACTATAAAGTATTTTTTTTTTATAGAATTTAGGCAGTATAATAGATTTTGAGTTGTTTTGCTTTTTTTTGTTTGGTGAGGGAGATTGGCCATGAACTAACATCCATTGCCAATCTTCCTCTTTTCGCTCAGGAAGATTGGCCCTAAGCTAACGTCCATGCCCATCTTCCTCTATTTTGTATGTGGGACGCCGCCACAGCATGGTCTGACGAGTGGTGCGTAGGCCCACACCCGGGATCTGAACCCACAAACCCGGGGCCGCTGAAGCGGAGTGCGCAAACTTAACCACTACGCCACCAGGCCAGCCCCTTGTTTTGCTTTTTTATCTCTCATTTTTTAAAAAACAACCAGAGTAGGTAGGCAGTAAAAGATTAAATAAATGTTAGTCCTTTTTGTAGCAGTCAGCTGAGTCCATGGTATATACTGCCTTCAGTTTGCCAGAGTTGTGTAAGCAAGTGGAGGTGTCTGCCATTAGAGGGAAGCATTGTGTCTTTCTTCACCAGAGCAGTTACAACTGTATCCTACTCTGAACCTGGCTGGGACGTGGAGTAGGTCTGAACTGTTTGATGCCACATTGTAACAGGTGACAGCAAGGATTCAAATAGTCAAATGAAGTACAGAGTCACCACTAGTGCCTTTTCCATCTCCCCATCCCTAAGAAAGTAATGATAGGATGGACATGTTGAATTATCAGTTGGATGGCTAGCTTTAGAGACTTTTAAACAGATGAGTGTCAGAGATAACAAAGTCTTTATCACTGTGTGTTTTATTCTATCATTCTAGGCATTTACTTTTACTAGGGGGGTGTGTGTGTGTGTGTGTGTGTGTGTGTAACTAAGCCAACATTTTAAATTCCAAGTATTATGCTGGCTTACTTTGGAGTACATTGTGAATCAAGTACCATCAGTCTAGTAACCAATATTTTCTTTTGCTCTGTTTCATTCAATAATTGGGAGACCTTTAAAACAGATATTTTCCATTTAAGATAGGTAGAAAATGGCCCGTTGTCAAGGAACCTGGTTTTATAGAAACTCGAGCCATTTTAAGTTTAATTTATATGCCTTGATTAAAAAACCTAAGATAGGGCCGGCCCGGTGGCGTTGCAGTTAAGTGCATGTGCTCCGCTTTCGCGGCCCAGGGTTCACAGGTTCAGATCCTGGGCGCGCACCGATGCACCACTTGTCAAGCCATGCTGTGGCGTCCCATATAAAGTAGAGGAAGATGGGCATGGATGTTAGCCCAGGGCCAATCTTCCTGGGCAAAAAAGAGGAGGATTGGCATCAGATGTTAGCTCAGGGCTGATCTTTCTCACAAAAAATAAAAAAATCTTAAGATAATAGAAGTGACAGGAAAACCTGTGTTTTAACAAAAGGATCTGTATTTGCATCTTATCAACTTGGCAGTTATTCTGAAAGATTTGCTATATTTAAATGCCTATTTAAGCAAGATTATTTAGTTCCCAAATATTTTAACTGTGAAACTTTGTGCAGTAAACAGAAACTTATTCTAAATAGATTATATGTTGGGATTTGGGAAGGCTTAAATCAAAAGTTTTTCAGAAGTAAATAACGTATGTTCTTTTATCAGTATTTATAGAGGTCTCCTTTTTTAAAGAGACCTAACTATAATAAATCCACACATAGTGCCGGCCCTGTGGCTTAGCGGTTAAGCGCGCGTGCTCCGCTGCTGGCAGCCCGGGTTCGGATCCCGGGCGTGCACCGACGTACCGCTTCTCCGGCCCCGCTGGGGCTGCGTCCCACATACAGCAACTGGAAGGATGTGCAACTATGACATACAACTACCTACTGGGGCTTGGGGGAAAAATTAAATTATTTAAAAAAATAAATAAATCCACACATAAAAAGGGGTACTTTAATCATTTCTGTTTTGGAATTAGAAAACCTAGCTTGTATTTTTGTTCCTTGCCTCGTACAGAGTTTTTTCCTCCCCATAGAGGATTTTTCTCTTAGTTCTTGGTTATTGATTGTTGAAAATCATTGAGCTAATTCTTAAGGACTGAAATATCTAGTAATATTTTTAGAACTCTTTCAAGGTTTAGAAGAGCATTACTCCTCCCCTGGCCTCCATGCTGCCACAGGAAATGTCGTATTTCAGAGTAGTATATATTCTTTAGTATTTCCTCTCATCTGGGGGGGAGGGGTGGAGGGGTAGTAAAAGTTACTTAACCTTCTTTGCCTTTCTTTGTAATGGTAACTTAAAATGGAGAAATTAGATTAGGGTTTTCGTTTCATTTTAATAATAGCAATTACTTTTGCATCCGTAAATCAAACTCTACTAGACACCATCTGAATGAATTGCCACCATTGCCCTGAGAAGTTATTTCCCCATTTTATATGGATAAGAACACTGAGGCTCAGATTAAATAATTTACCTGAAGGTGACACAAGTTGTTAAATGGAGGGACCAGCATTTGTACCTGATCTTTCCTATTTCAAAGCCCTTTTTTTTTAAACTACACCACTTTTCTTTGTTAAATGTATGAAATTCACCGACATTATATAACTTTTATTCAGAGATTCTTATGTTATTACCAGTTAGCAATTTCAAGTTCATTCTGTCATCTGGGTCAGAGATATTTCTTGAATCTGTCTCAGTGTAGGGTAGCACCAAATGAAGATAACATCCACAGAAAAAAGTAAATGGTAACCCCTTTAAAAGCAGAACTCTTCCCTCTTCTAAAAATGATCTCTATGAAACTGCTGTCATGATTTGTGTTGGAAAGTCCTAGATCATTATAAACTGGCCAGTAACCAAATAGAGATGTTTTCCCTGGTCTCACAGTTCCCTCGGTTTAGGAGTGGCCTGCAGCTATATTATGAACTTAACTAGGGGAAGGGGATGGGAGGGAGAGGAGAAGTGGTGTCACCAGGAGATTAGAGCAGGTCGTCTGTTTTCCTCTAAATACAAGGGCTGTATTGGTAGATCAAAAGGACTGTTTTTTGGGGCCGGCCCGGTGGCTTCGCGGTTAAGTGCACGCGCTTCGCTACTGGCGGCCCGGGTTCAGATCCCGGGTGCGCACAGATGCACCGCTTCTCCGGCCATGCTGAGGCGGTGTCCCACATACAGCAACTAGAAGGATGTGCAACTATGACATACAACTATCTACTGGGGCTTTGGGGGAAAAAAAGGAGGAGGATTGGCAATAGATGTTAGCTCAGAGCCGGTCTTCCTCAGCAAAAAAAAAGAGGAGGATTAGCATGGATGTTAGCTCAGGGCTGATCTCCCTCACAGAAAAAAAAAAAAAAGGACTGTTTTTATAAACCCTTAAATTGGTAATCACTTTATATCACGGCAGGGAAAAAATTTAAATGGGTTGCATTACCTCAGTCAAGTTCAACAAACTATGGCTCCTTTAAAATCATGTATCATATTTATAGAGAAAAGCTTCATTATCTGGCAGAGAAAGCTAGAATTTATTTGAGTATATCTCAAGATATGGATAGAGAAGAGGAGAGACTCAGTTCTGCCTTTAAGAGCTACTTGATACTTTGAAGGTGGATCAGGGTCTCTACTACATTATGTACATAATTCTGATTTCTAGCAATTAAGTGATATGTCATTTTGTTCTTTGGATTGGCATCATAGTACTTCTGAATATTAAGGAATGTAGCTTTGTTTTCCACAGGGGGTTTTCAGTATGATATCAAATGCAGTTTATGTCTTCAAATTAATCTGGAGTTTTCTTCTAGGTATATAGGTTTCTGTGTAGGGATGAGGCATTGAGTAGCTGAAACTCCCTTTAATAACTATAGAAAGTCTTTTCTGTCAGATCTTTCTTTTTCTTCTTATTCTCTTTTCTCCCCCAACTTTAAGCACAGCTACATAATAGGTGTGGGTTTATTTTTTTCCTCATGGAATCATGGGTAGTTTCATTGCAGCTCATCTCTTTCTGTTTGTTTCGTATAGGGCTGATAGTTCAGGACCATTCAGACCCCATGTTCAGTTCATATGCCTATAAGTCCCACTACCTACTGAATGAATCAAATCGTGCAGAGTTGATGAAATTACCTATGATTCCTTCTTCGTCAGCTTCCAAAAAGAAATGTGAGAAAGGTAATAATCAAAATAGTTTATCTCTTGCTTTTATTTTTGCATTTCCTATTTTTTTCTCTTTAAATGAAGGGGGGAAATATATGCCTGTCAAGCACCATCTGTTGCTTTTGGTAAATTCTACCTTGGTGGTTGTGACTGTATCTTCATATGGCTGCAAAATTATTAAAAAGGGCTTAAAATAATTCCATTATTACAAATTTGTACTTACTCTTCTCCTTGAATAAATTTTCAGACATTCCATATATCTATGGGTTATTAAAATGGAAAGACTAGGATTTTTCTTAGTATAGAAGACTATCTAAGGGTTCTTTTTCTTTTGTCTGATGTAGAACTACCATTCATGTTAGACTAGAATAGTCATAATGTAATTTGTTACTAACTTTCAACTAAATAACAAGATAGGTTGTTAAATAGAGGGAAACCAAGATACTGCTACTTAATTTAATTTTATGATACATTCTGTCATTTTGTTTCTGAAATATTTTTGTTAAGATGTTGTGACAACTAGTTGCCCTTCTCTTAGGAGACACTGGTGGGCAGCTGGGGAGGATACCCCAAATACTGGATATTGAAAGGCAGCCCAGATGAACTGAAGAATTGCTTATGGGTAATTTACCCACAGAGAACCAAAAGCTGACTGTATATTTATATTCTCCCAGTTAATTTAATCTATGGAGGAAAATCTTGTGTTTAGCTTTACATAGCCTACTTGTAATAAAGGAAAAAAGTGGATTAAGAATAAGGTATTATTTGGGGAGTTATTATCTCAGTGGGTAAAATAAATTACCTGGAAGGTGAAGGCCTTTCCTGTCTACATTCCCATGATGATCGGGGGCCAGGTTCAGAGTCTTTAAAAAAAAATTAATTCCTACCTAATATACTAGGTATATTTGAAATGGGCTTTTTTTTTCATTCTTTATGTTGCCCGCTTAATGTGTCTTTGCTCTTTGTCAGACATCTAAAGTGGCAACCAATGACTAAAAGAAAGTATAACTAAGCAAGTTGATCAGAACCTATGGAGAAGTAGGTTAGAGAGAGTATTGGCTTTTTTGTCTGTTTGTGTTCCATTGAAGTCACAGTATGTCATCTTACTGTCGATACCACCTACCTCCAAAACAAAGATGGGCATAGGACTAACGCCATAATGCAATAAAGTCAGACTACCAAAATGCCTTATTTTCCTGCTGGCGCCTTTATAAAATTAGATTAATTCAATTATTGCTTACTTTGTTTTCAGTCCTCAGTATTGACCTTGACATGAACTGAAATTATTTTGAGCCCTCTGTTTGCTTAGCTTGAACCATATCTTTCTTCTCTTGCATCCTAAAGCAGTTTTCTTGCATAGCACCAAGGTGGATTGTTCATATTTTTATTTTTCTATTTCTCTTGTGTATTTTTTGTCAAAAAATCATGATGATTTTCACTGATGATTCTGGGTCTGTATTTCCTCTGAAATAAGACTTAAAATTAAAGACTAGTCCATAATGTTAAGAATGGCCAGCCTGACTTTTCCACATCAGCTCTAATAATCACATGTCCTCTAAAGCTGTTCACAAAGACTGCTCTCCTTATTGGTCATTCCTTCTGATGGAAAAATGAATTATCTCATTTTACTTTAAACTTACGGAAGAATTCCCTACCTAGGCTAAGAGCACTCAGGCAGCGAACCTCTAGGTTGTGGAAGTGGAACAATTAATCCATACTGAGATCTGCAGACAAAGGAGAAAATCCCAATGATTGAAGCAAAAGCTTTTAAGCAGAGGAAATATAGTAATTTAATTCATCATTGATTGTACATGGATTTTCTTTTTGTTTTTATGTCAATCAGTTAGAAGTTTGAAAGTCTACAGAAAGACAAAATTTTCTGGAAAATTGATAGCAAACCCTCAAAAGGTTGGAGCATGTGATCTGATAAAGTTGTATAGAAAACCTTTTGCTTATGAGACTTTAAATCTCAGTATAGTCATGGGTTACAGACCTGATTTTCCAATGGAAAGATGAATTTTTTTTGCAATAAATGTCTTTATTATATTTCATCTTCAGTGGTTAACATCCTTCTCTGTCACTTGTTGAAATACCTATTAGAAATACCTAATCTCCTCCCAAATCTTTTATTTCTTTGCATTTAAAAGTATTGTTTTGTTTGCTGCCCGTGTTTTGGTCTTAATCCAGAGATCATTTTGTGTATTTAAAAGGAGAGGATTTTGCTAGGGAACTTGGATGGCTCTCCTTGAGTATGATACTTCATTCTCCACTGATATTTACTTAGTTTTATGCTATAAAGCAGTGGTTCTCAATATGAAGTCAGAAAAGACTTATGTAACAAAATTTTTGAACTATGTTTAATATTTCAGAAAATCTAACAGAATTACACATTTGTACAAAATAAGGCTGCATGAGTTTCTTTGTATTTGGCTATGGTTTTAACAATTTAATGTGATAATACTAGTTTTGTTATTGGGATCAGAAGCTCTGATTGGCAGTTATATATTCCTTTGGTTAATAAAAACAGGAGAAATTGTTACTTTTAAAATGCAGGGGTTTTGTTTTTGTTTTTTGTTTTGGGGGGTTTTTTGGTTGATAAAATATTTGAAAACATATGGCTCCATGACGAAGGAAAGGGGATCCTTGGTGATGAAAAAGTTGCAAACCACTGCTGTATAGCCTGTTTGACTTTATCTTCACTGAAAAGGTAATGATAATGTAATCACCAATTCGAGAATGTATGATCCTTTTGCTTTTTTGTATTCTTTTATTGGAACAAAAAAGTACTGATCAACCTATTGGCTGTTTTCATTCTTGCTAATCTTATTATAAAGGGATTTAGTTACCTGTGGCACTGGATTAAAATACAAAGATGACCACTCTTTGCTTTCTTAGCTCTCAAGGAGAAAAGAAAGTAAACTGCTACATATTTCTTTGAAAATCTGCTCTCCACTCTACTCAGTCTAAAGATTTCATGCATCTCTTTTGTCATATGTTAGGAAGTTTAACTGCCTGCTAAACGGATCCCTTGATAGCCCACATTTTAGAGGGGTAAAGAGTCAGTGATGTTTTTCATACTAATCAAAAGCTTTTGAGTCTCTGGCCACTGAAGCCCTGACAAGGGACTGAAGGAGCTACGTCTGTTCATTTGCTTTCTATTTTAATCCATCACTATAGATGTGACTCAATCCCTTTGTTATTTTCCCCCAATCTGAATCAAATTTAATGCACTTAAAAGATAACTTTCTCCTTTTTCTTTCTTTTTCTCTTCCCTCTTTTCTCAGTTATTAAGACTGTTTATTTGTTTCAAGGTGGAAGATTGCTCTGCTGTGAATCGTGCCCAGCTTCTTTCCACCCCGAATGCCTGAGCATAGAAATGCCAGAAGGCTGCTGGAATTGTAATGACTGTAAAGCTGGCAAGAAACTGCATTACAAGCAGATTGTTTGGGTCAAATTGGGAAATTACAGGCAAGTTTTTCTAAGGACAAAGAGGAAGTGTTCAATCATTGTTCCGACATAGGTTCATAATCTGTACACAAAGTGGCTGGGAGATAGGTAGAACAGCACAGAGCACTTCCTTAGAGAAAGAAAGAGAAAAGAAACATATTCTGAGTCTGGGTTTTTAGAGGATTGGGAAGGTTAGTTGTTGTTGGGTTTCTTTTTTTTTAATTGGTTGGTTGACTTTTGTTTTTAAGTTCTGAAAGTTATTTTATACTAATGAACTATATACTACTAGATTTTGGAATAAAAGTTCTTATGTGGATAGTGAGGAAGATGTTTTCTCTGTATCCCAATTAGATTTATATTGATTTCTGATTTCTAATAAAATCAGGAGTTTATATCCAGGCCAAAATAGCTCTGTTTGCCCCGCGATCTGGTCCATTTTAGTTATAGCTAGAAGCTCTAGACTTTGTCCAAAGAGAGGGCTTTTTAGAATTTAATGAGAGAGATTATTTCATTAAGAGGCTTTAGTTCCTAAGGGAAGGAAGTAAGAAGTGTGTATGATTGCCATTGTTGTAATAAAACTTTCTCCTTTTAGGAGACCTGTTTATAACAAGCCTTCACTGAACAGGAATTAGTGATATATTTTTAAAACTCTATGTTCCATATTTTGAGGCATATGTTTATCATTTTACTAAGAAAATAGATACTATTCAAGAGAGCACAATAGAGTTCTGCTTTTCAATTAGAATCCTAAGTAAAATATATTTCTATAGAATTTCAAACATATTGTAATTTTTTTTTAGCAAGAGCTATGTTGTTTTCTCTGTGTTTTAAATATACTGCTTGCTTACCTATTTAACTTAAAAATTAGTATTTTTAGCTGAGAATAAGGGGCATTGAGGTGGTGAAGCCACCCCCTCTATAATTCTTTTTTAACATATGACAGGAAACCTCCAAGTCCTAAAAAAAAAAAAAAATTTGACAATTTGAATGCATAAACAGTTTCATACTGTATGGCAAAAGATATCATAAAGTTTTAGAAGGCAAATGTCAAACCAGGGGAAAGTATTTGCTCTTCTACTTTTAATAAGAAAAGACGACGGGCCAGCCCCGTGGCTTAGCGGTTAAGTGCGTGCGCTCCGCTGCTGGCGGCCCAGGTTCGGATCCCGGGCGTGCACGTGCACCGACGCACCGCTTCTCCAGCCATGCTGAGGCCGTGTCCCACATACAGCAACTAGAAGGATGTGCAGCTATGACATACAACTATCTACTGGGGCTTTGGGGGGGGGGGAATAAATAAATAAAATCTTAAAAAATATATATATTAAAAAAAAATAAAAAATAAAAAAATAAGAAAAGACGAATACCTTACCTAGAAAGGGGGGCAAAGAAGAGAAAGAGCCAGTTTGCAAAAGAATAGCAAATAGAAAATAAATGTAGAAAATGCTCAGCCTCACTAAAAATAAATGTATGTTAAAAGCAAGGAGTCTTTTTTTTTCCATTTAACAGACTGGCAAAGATTTAAAAGAGTAATAATTTTGGGGAAACAAGCGCTCCCTGTAAGGCGATCTGGCATCACGTATTAAAATTGTAACTTTGTATACCCTTTGACTCAGCACTTTCCCTTCAAGGAATTTATCTAAGAAAAAAAAATTGGACAAGTAGGCAAAAATATATTTATAGGGGTTTTCATTGCAGTATTATTTCTAATTGCAAAAATTTGAAGTAACCCAAATGTTCAGTCAGTAAGGGATTTGTCAGATAAATTGTAGTGTATCCATATTGTAGAATACCTTGAAGGCAATAAAAGGATAATGTAGGTCTGTATAGTAACAGAAGATATCCACGACATATAGTTGAATTTAGAAACCATGTTAAACAGTATATATATATTGTCTTTCCATGGGTTTATACAATTTTTTAAAATTGTAGGCCTAGATATGTTTTTAATACTCGGAAAGAAATACTTCTAATGTTAATAGTCTGAAGCATGAGATTACAAGGGGAGGCCTTTTCAGTTTTTATGTTATATACTTCTGCATTGTTTTAATTTTTAAAAGTAACACACACTGCTTTTATAATTAAAAATATATATCTTTCTGGAGTGGGGAGAGGTTCGGGTTTGACAATTTAAAGATAAGACATACCTGGATAAGAAATATCTAAAACAGTGTAAGAAGCCTTTAGATCTTCAAGTAAATTTCATAATATTTCCTTTTTTTTCATTTTTTATTTTTGGCTTTTTTTTGAGATATAATTGAGTTAACATTATATTAGTTTCAGGTGTACAACATAGTGATTCAATATTTGTATATGATCACAGCAGTAAGTCTAGTTAACATCCATCACCATACATAGTTAAAAAAATTTTTTTCTTATGATGAGAACTTATAAGGTCTATTCTCTTAACTTTCAAATATACAACTCACTATTATTACCTGTAGTCACCATGCTGTACATTACATATTTCCTTTTTTAAAAATGTTATGAATATGAAAATATCTTTGACTTAATTTAATTTTAATACTTAAATTTTAATCACATTACATTTTAAAGAATCCCCAAGCAGTGCTCCAGTTCATAGCCCAGTGAGATTTTATGTGCAGGTCAGATGAGTCTTGTATGTTTTGCAAAGACTTCCAGCCTTGAATTAATAATATATTTTTTTCCAGTCAGGCCCAGCTTGGCCACATAAAGTGGTTACTTTTCAATAACTCTTGACTCCAGTGTGAAGTTTCCTGGGGGAAATATGAAGATCTGGGACAGCCCCTGGCAGAAAGCATGCCTCTTCCTACCTGACCCAGTGAATGTTGTTATCGTGTGCATACTTAAATACCTAAAAATGGTTTAGAAATAAATATTTCCTAGCCTACTTTGAGGGGAAACCAAATACTGATTACACAAAATAGTGTTGTTTTGTTTTGTTTCAATTAATTCTTCGATGGACAGCAGGGTACCTTTTAGATGAAGTGTATTCAAGTTCTGCACTATAAAGCTGGGAGTGTGACCATGCCATCATTTATCTCCTAAATAATAGTTCCTTAAATAAATGGTTTTATTAGGCATATGTAAAATAAGAGACTGAAAAAATTTGTCTTTGTGTATTTAGTGTTCATATTGATGATTTTATATACTATAAAAGCTTCCCCTTCAACTCCTGACTTACCCAATTGCTAGAAACTGTCCAGTGTGCCTCACAGATGGCTTCATTAGTGATATTCAGTCATCACTGCATGAAACAGTTATGTTTTCATTCTGTCCCATATCCCACATTTCCTATTACATTTCCATTACAATCTAAGATGAATTAGATTCTGAAATACACACTGATATAAACCTAGTACACTTGACCAAGAAGTATTTCCCCTAGTTGATTAGAGAGTCAGAAAATGCTAATTTGAATGGGAGTGGTCATTCTTTACTATAGCATCAGTTTATTCTTAAATGATTCCCTTGACTACTAGAAATAAACTTTTATACCTTGAAGAACAATTTTGGTCTTAAGAATGTCAACTTGAGAGAAAAACATGACTTTTCTAGGATTGAAATTGGGTTTGGAATAGTATTGGTAAATTTTAATTCGTAAGTTGGGTAGCGAGTTCATTGTTATTTTATTATTATGCTTTATAACTTATATTCTCATGATATATAATCTTCTATAAATATTAAATATTAATTTTTTAAAGAAAGAAATTAGATTGGGTGTTTAGGGCCTAGTTTGTTTAGTCTGTGTTCACTGTTTCATTAGTTAACTCATTAATCAATATGTTTTTCAATGATGTATGGTTTGGATAGGATTAAAGATAAGGTGTTTTATGTCCTTAGAATCTGAATAAAAATTGCAAAGTACAAAACCTTTTTTTCCTCCTACCAGCCATGTAAAGAATAGTGTGCTCTTTCATCCTCTTGGTCTAAAATTGCTTTTGTTTTCAGATGGTGGCCAGCAGAGATCTGCAATCCCAGGTCTGTGCCACTGAACATCCAAGGCCTTAAGCATGACTTGGGGGACTTCCCTGTGTTCTTCTTTGGTTCTCATGACTACTATTGGGTACACCAGGGCAGAGTGTTCCCTTATGTTGAAGGAGACAAAAGCTTTGCTGAGGGACAGACTAGTATTAACAAGACCTTCAAAAAAGGTAAGTTGGATGATATGTACAGTAGCTCAAAACTAAGATTCCAGTGTTGATTTCTCAATGTCTCCTAACTTGCATATGACATGTTTCTGGTATTAGAGAATTTTCACCAGGCGTTAGGATCCAGCATCCATTAGTTTACAGTCACGTTAGAACCACATCAGAATCCAGTCAATTAAAAAAATAGACTTCAGTATAGTAGACTGTGCTGTGTATATGAAAGGTGTTTCTTCAGTGATCTTTCCACAAACATAGACATTATCTGGAAACAGTCTTTTTAATCAAGTGAAGCTCCTTTGCTACGGAAGAGTAGTAAAAGCTTCCCATGAAGAGCCTTACAACTGTTTTTGCAACAAGTTGCGAGGAATATTGGCTTTCTGGGTAAGAGTAAAATGAATTTAAATCTAGTCCAAGGTAAAAAGCTACTCTTTGCTTCATTTGGAAGCCTCTGCTCATTGAAGTAGGACCTCCTGTCTGAGGCAGCAGCTTGCACAGAGCATAGTGTTCAGCCATAAATGACTTATATCCTATTTCACTGTTACCCTATCATGGTGGTAAATGGTTATTTCCAGAATATAATTTTAAAAAGAAAACCTCAGCTCAGATGCAGTGCATTGGGAAGGCAGTGTAAAACTACTTTCCTAATGGTTTTTGTTTGTTTTTTGGTCTTTATGTACTTTGTTTGGTCTTATTGGCAGCACTGGAAGAAGCTGCAAAACGTTTCCAGGAATTGAAAGCACAAAGAGAAAGTAAAGAAGCACTAGAGATTGAAAAAAGCTCAAGAAAACCCCCTCCTTACAAACACATCAAAGTGAGTCTTTACCTATGAAAACATTGGTATTTGACAGCAAGATAAAATGCATTACTCTCTTAGTACAGTCGTATGCCACATAACGTTTCGGTCAGCAACGAACTGCGTATACGATGGTGGTCCCATAAGATTAGCACCGCATAGCCTAGGTGTGTAGTAGGCTACAGCATCTAGGTTTGTGTAAATATACTCTGCGGTGTTTGCACAACAACAAAATCACCTAATGACACATTTCTCAGGAACGTATCCCCGTCGTTAAACGACACATGACTGAAGTTAGAAGGCCCTTTTTGACTTGTGAAAACTTTTGTTTATTATCACCCAGTCTTCTGTAAACCAAACCAAGCGCTTTCTTTGGAAGCATCCATTGGCAGCCTGGCTGCCGTGCTGTGAGATGAGGTCTTTGATAAGCCGGCTCATACCTCAGAGCAGCATGTTTGCTGTGAAATCCTGTTCCTGCCCTACCAGGTTGTCCTGCAACCAGATGAGAATACAGCGATTTAGCCCCTTTCTTCCAGAGAGCCCACAGGTGTTTTCAGTTATGGAATTTCCATCGACTGGTAGAAGAAGAAATACACAGGATAAATAAGTGAGAATTCGCATCAGATTTTGATATTTTTGTCAACTAAGGAGAGGCAGTGGTTATTCATAGCTTACTCATGGGGAAGTTAAAATGAAGATAGAGAGGCTCTCTCAGAGTCACACTGCAAGGCAGTAGCAGAGCCAAGAACAGCATGGATGTTTCTGATGTTCCTCTTCACATGCCTCCCTCTCACTTGTGACTTTGTTTTCTAGGCTAACAAAGTAATAGGAAAGGTACAGATCCAGGTTGCAGACCTGTCAGAGATTCCCCGCTGTAACTGCAAGCCCGGGGATGAAAACCCTTGTGGCTTGGACTCAGAGTGCCTGAACAGAATGTTGCAGTACGAGTGTCACCCTCAGGTGTGCCCAGCTGGAGACCGCTGCCAGAACCAGTGCTTTACAAAGAGGCTCTACCCGGATGCAGAAATCATCCAAACAGAGCGAAGGGGCTGGGGCCTCAGGACCAAAAGGAGCATTAAGAAGGTAGCATGGGATGGGGCAGTGGTGGAGAGGGAACAGACCAGGACCTATGCCTCCTAGAGATGCTTTAGGAGGGATAAAATAGATAGGGATTTATGGAGAAATTTTGAAACTTCCCAAGCTGAGAGTTTAGCACTTCTTGAGCAAAGAAAAAGCAGGAGGAAGAAGAAGTAACACAATGCACATAAACTTTTGGTGTCCTGTGATTAGTCATAAAAAAGAGAGGGACATTGGTTATTTTCTATTTGAAATATTTTTTACTTTTTAACCAAAATAGATTTAAAAGACTAAGTAAAGGCAAAATAGTGAAGTTAAGAATGTAGTGGGATAGAAACTAGCAAACCCGGGGCTTTGCTCCAACATCATAATTCGTTAGCCATGAAACCATGGCCAAGTCACCTAACCTCCCAGAGCCTCAGTTTCCTCATTTCTAAAATGGACACAATAGGGGGCTGACCCCATGGCCAAATAGTTAAGGTTCCACATCCTCCACTTCGGCAGTCTGGGTTTCAGATCCTGGACGCAGACCTACTCCACTTACCAGCCATGCTGTGGAGGTGTCCCACATACAAAATAGAGGAAGACTGGCACAGATGTTAGCTCAGGGCTAATCTTCCTTAAGCAAAAAAAAAAAAAAAAGGAAGATTGGCAACGGATGTTAGCTCAGGGTGAATCTTCCTCAGCAAAAAATAAAATAAAATGGACATAATAATCCCTGCCCTACGTAGTTAAGGGTCATTGCTAGTCTCAAATTAGATTATATATATACAAAAGCAACTGGAAAAAGTTGAGTTCTTTAGCATTTATAAATTATCTTCATTCTTATACTTTGAGGCAATTTTTCAAAGCAATCTCTTTGTTTAACACAAGAAATGCATGCCTATTGTAGAACATTTTTTAAATGCAACAACTCAAAGAAAAATGAAAATCACCGGTAATTTCTACTATTCAAACAGTGACTCTCAGACTTTAGAGATCCTGAGAATCTCCTGGGGTTCAGTAAACAGTGTCTTACTGAAATATCTGGGACAGGCCTAAATAATCTGCATTTTAAAACAAGTCCCCACCCTGCCCCCACACCTGCCCCCACACCTGCCCCCTCCCCCTGCTTGCCTAATGCCAACATTTGGAACCTGGAGATGTATTCACTGTGAGATGGACCCAGTGGGAATTAACATTACTCTTGACTTTTTCTACCTTTTTAAAAAAATCACCTCTTTAATTAAAAAATATCATATAATGTAGTAAAGAAAACCAAACAATACAAAAAGATGATAAAGCATGAAATGCCTCCTTCATCCCCTCAATCCTGGTCTCCTCACCAGAGACGACCACTGTTAATAGGTTGGTCTATAGCCTTTTAGAACTGTTTCTATGCAATTGTAAACATAAACACATTACAAATACATATTCGTATATTCTATATTTGTAGAGTTTTTTAAACATGAATATGATCATATATATTTTTTCCCACTTAGTATATGGTAAATATATTTTTATGGCAGTACATACAGGTTTGACCTCATTCTTTTTAACAGTCTCATTGTATTCCATAGTAAAATGTACCAAAATTTATCTAACCTATTTTCCAATAAATTTATCTATATATATTTTTAATTCTTTAATGGACATTCTTGATCACCTGTCTTCATGCACCTGTTTCTATACGTTAGATTTTTCAAGGTGAAACTCATTCAGCACATATTTGTTCAGCTTCTTCTATCTGCCAGCTCCTATTCTAGGTGGTTGGAAAACAGTAGTGAAGAAGACACCTTTGTGGGTCTGCTAGAGATGGATCATAAATAGATGTATGATGTTGAGTACCACTAAATGCTGCAAAGAAAAATAAAGCTGTCAAAGGGGATAGCTGGTGACGGGGAGTGCTGTTTTCAACTGATTGGTTAAGGAGGGCCTGAGGAGGTGACCCCTGAGCTGAGTATGTCAGAGGAAGGCCATGCAGATGCAGATGGGAGAAGAGCTTTTCAGACTGAAGACAAAGCCAAGGATACAGGCCTTAGCCTGCTCGCAGAACAGCAAGAAAGCGAGTGTACGTGGAGAGGAGTGGTAGGTGGGAGAGAGGAGAGACAGGGGTAGCCGGGGGCTAGGTCACATGGGGCCTTGCAGGCCACAGGATGGGAAACTTATGGAGGATTTTAGTAAGGAGTGACTTGATCTGATATGATGTATTCATTTTGTATTGCTGCATAACAATATTACCACAAGCTTGGCAACTTAAAACATAGCACACATTTGATTATCTCCCAGTTTCTGCGGGTCAGGAGTCTGGGCGGTGCTTAGCTGGGTCCTCTGCTCAGGGTCTCACAAGGCTGCAGTGAAGGTGTTGACCAGGGCTGGGTTCTCCTTCTTGTGCCTCGACTAGGGAAGGACCTGCTTGCCTGGCTTTTGGTAGAACTCTGTACTTGGCAGCTGTAGGTCTGAGAGCTTCAGGTGGTTTTTGTTCTGGTTTGTTGTCATTTTGCTGCTTTTAGCTTCTAGATGCTGCCTGCAGTTCCTTGCCAAATGGGGTTCCCAAACATGGCTGTTTGCTTCCTTACAGCCAACAAGGGACAGAGATACTCCAGCAAGATGGATACTAAAGTCTTAATGTGACACACTCATGCCATACATACGTCCTGTCACCTCTGCCATGTTCTTTTGGTTAGAAGCAAGTCACAGGTCCTGGCCACTCAAGGGGAGAGGATCATACAACAGCATGAACACCAGGAGGCAGGGACCTTAAGTGTCTGTCCACCATACTTAGGTGTCAAAAGAATAACTTTGGCTGTAGTATGGAGAATTTATGGTAACGGGGAAAGAGTGATAAAAAGGAGACTGTTGTAGTCCAGGAGAGAGATGATGGTGGCATGGACTACTGGGGTTGTAGCTGAGCAGGAAAGAAGTGGTTGGATTTCTGACATTTGAAGGTAGAGCCAACAGGATTTGCTAATGCATTGGATATGTGAATTGGGTTCCTTGGTCAAAGGCCATCTGCATTTCAAGTATCATTATATAATGCAAAATTTTTTATATTACTTTAATGCCATGCATATCACATGTACAAATTTTTGCCTATGATTTCAGGGGAGTTTTGGGGGCCATCTTGAAATCTATCCAGTTTAATTTCCTGTTAACACCTCTTAAAAGCAGTTGCATTTGGGGCTAGCCCGGTGGCACAAGCGGTTAAGTGCGTGCACTCCGCTGCAGCGGCCCGGGGTTCGCAGGTTCAGATCCCTGGCGCGCACCGACGCACCGCTTGGCAAGCCATGCTGTGGCAGCGTCCCATATAAGGTAGAGGAAGGTGGGCATGGATGTTAGCCCAGGGTGAGTCTTCCTCAGCAAAAAAAGAGGATTGGCAGATGTTAGCTGAGGGCCGATCTTCCTCACACACACAAAAAAAGCAGTTACATTTATTCTAAAATGTATTATAATTTATTAAATTAATGATATAATCAAGAATCAATGAGGATTATTCTGCCCTTTAGCACTTGAGGAATTGCTAATGTAAGACAATTGGTCTTTTACAAAATAGCTAGCAATATACAGTCATTGAAAAGCATAACTAAAAGACTTTGTGGCAACATGAAAAAGATTTTCGATATATTTAGAAGACAGAAGCCAAATGTAAAATTGAATGTACACAGTCAGTCCCCTTCTTTTCACACATAACAAATTCCTGAAAACAGGTGCCAAGAGTTAAACAAGGGACTTCCTGTTATGAAGTGGTTTCTTTCCTAGAAATTAAAGAATATATATTAAATACTGAATTACAGCCTTTTTGCCACAGTCTTTAAGGACAGATTTCTAGCTTTTTTTGAGTTCTTTATTTTGTCATTTTTGTTCACAGTTGAATTCACAATTAATGGTTTTAAGTCCAGTAAACAACTCCAAGGCTAAAGATTTGTCACTTTAGGACATCTGAAATATGTCTTTTACAAAACAGCTAGAAATATTTATTTAAAATGGTATCAAGTTTATGAGACTTGCACTTCCTCATGTTTGGTATCGGCACTTTAATTTTTCTATATCCATTCATTTTCATAGAATAGTAAATATAAACCATAAGTGGTCCTCAAGCTTTTAAAGCCACAGAGCCATTTCTTCAAATGAAATCTTAACCTTGAATCTGAGTATGTGGGAAAGGTGAAGTGGAGCTGATTTGGTTGAAATTCTGCTAAGTTTCCATTAAAGAAAACTTGCCATAAAATAGTAGAGTAACACTAGGTGGCAATGCAGCCAAAACGGCAATGAAATCTTCTACCTGTGGGGGCAGTGATACCATGTGATAGCGCCCAACGCCGTTCATCAGCTGATGTCGAAGCCCGACCTGGATGTAGGAAAAGCCATTTAAGGCTGACCGTACGTTGTACACAAACGTGCAGATCCATCCCATGTCCTTCGTGAGAAAGGACCAGAAGGGAAAAGTGGAGAAAATAAACTGCTCTGTTATGATGTTGTAGTTATAGATGAAATGTTTCTTTTTCTAACCTAATTCTTTGTCATAGCTTGTACAATCAATAAAAATGGGAGAGAAAGAAAGCCAGAGATCAACTTTTGTGGTGGCGGCTCCCCAGGTGAAACAAGTATGTAGCTCCGTGAAGCAGATTGGCTCCTCACTGCTCTCACTAGCCGCACACTGCCCAGGGGAGACTGGTGTACGGGAAGTTAAGTCGGTTCCTTCCAACTGGACCCATTAACTTCTTTCCTCTTATTACAGAAGTAACAATCTTTCATTTTTATCAATAGAGAAAGATTAAATATTTTTAAGAACATTGGCTTATGTTCTTAATGATTTACCAAAATCAGAAAATATAGTTCTTCTCTTTAGATTACTGCTATTTACTGTCAGTTCCGGAGGATGGGTGTGATTATAAAGGAGTAGCACAAGGGGTCTCTGTGGTGATGGAACCGTTTTGTATCTTGATTGTGGTGGTGGTTACCCAGTTCTACACCTGATGAAATTCCACCTGATGAAATTCCATAGAACTACACTCACAGACGAGTGCATGTAAAATTGGTGATATCTGGATAAGTTTTGTAGATTGTACCAATGTCAATTTTCTGGTTTTAATACTGTGCTCTAGTTATGTAAGAGGTTACCATTGGGGAAAACTGAATGAAGGGTACACGGATCCTCTCTGCACTATTCTTACAACTTCCTGTGAATATCTATAATTACTTCAAAATAAAAAGTTAAAAGAAAAAGGGCTCATTTGTTTCAGAATCACATCTTTTCCAGGTCTTACCCCCAAAGCTACAACAAACTAGTAAAAGTCTATTATAATACAGCTTCCAAGGCTTGAGTTAGCCTATCCCCAGATCCCAGTGATATCCCATAATAGTGTCCCTTGCACTAGAGAAATAATATTGTCAGCAAGACAAGACATGCAGTTACCACCTTTGAGGCACCGACACAAGAAAAATAGTGCTGTCTGAATGCCCATGCATAACAACTATTTGTTTAGAGGGTTGAAGTTATATTTCCAAGATTCTTTTTGGTTAATTCTCTTCGATCATACATGTGGTGTTAAGGAATGCTTTCAAATATAATACACTGATTTTACATTTATATATTGCGTGCTTCTCTGCAGGGCGAATTTGTAAATGAATATGTTGGCGAATTAATTGATGAAGAAGAATGCAGGTTGCGAATCAAGCGAGCCCACGAGAACAGTGTAACTAATTTTTATATGTTAACTGTTACCAAGGTAAAATTGCTTTTTTTTGTAAGAAAAAAGGATTTTTTGTTTTTATTTCATGATCTTAAGTTGAACTCAGTTTCCTCTAATTTGATTTTTTCAGGCAAATCATAATGATTTGCAGTAGCCAATATGCTATGTACTATAATGTGCTAATTATACTAGAGTACAAATGAATGACTATTGAAGCCTCACACGTGTCATGTGAGGCAGCACAGTGAGTGAAAAGATAAGCAGGAATAGGGTTAACGTGTCTGGATTTTAGTCCAAGCTCTTCTTAGTCACTGAAAGACCTGGCCCTCAGTTTCTTTATCACTGAAGGAGAGAATCAGGTCTGTCATTCTAAGTTATAAACCACCATTAAAGTTCTGATTTAGCAAAAATTCTAACTCTAAATTGTTGTGTATATTTAAACTTGTCTTTATGAGTTAGGAAAAAGGAATGTTGTCGTAAGAAAAATGACAGTACAACTGCTAGTTTAATACATGTCACAGTAAGTCCTATTTGATGCACATGACATCCATTATCTCATTTAGTTTCTTCAATTGTCCTCTGATTGACAGAGGACAAGAAACTGAGGTCCAGCCATGATAAGTGATTTGCTGAATATCTTGTTACATTTTAATGAAGAGCCAAGACTAGTACCCATATTTCCCGTGTACCAGGCTATCTCTAAAACTGAGAGTCAGAATACCATTAAAAGTAAGAACTAGCAATCATTTAAAAGGATTATTTTAACTGATGTCATTGTTTGAAAGTTTTACAACTTTCATGAACATGTATTTTATAAACATAAAATGCCATTTATTTATGATGTTCCCACTGCCAGTGACCCCTCCAGCCATTGACAACACTAGGGAAGCTCCATCCTCTAGAGCTTATCCAATTTATCAGAGCTTGAGGTCGGCCCGGTGGCGTAGCAGTTAAGTGCGCGTGCTCTGCTGCGGCGGCCCGGGGTTCGCGAATTCGGATCCCTGGTGCGCATCAATGCACCGCTTGTCAAGCCATGTTGTGGCAGCGTCCCATATAAAGTAGAGGAAGATGGGCACGGATGTTAGCCCAGGGCCAGTCTTCCTCAGCAAAAAGAGGAGGATTGGCGATGGATGTTAGCTCAGGGCTGATCTTCCTCACACACACACACAAAAATTATCACAGTTTAAATTCAGGGGGCCAAAATGTTGAGCTTCTTATTTTCAACTTTAGTGTAAGTAAAAAGAGAACAAATAGATAACTACTGGAGAGTACATCCCAAACTATAGCCCTTCTGTCATCAAATCTCCGAGTCTTCATTCAGAGGAGAAGTCTCTCATTTTTCCTTCTTCCCTCTTTACGGCCTCACCTCTCATCCATCTACCCCTCTACTAGTGTAGCTTCTCACTCAGAGTGGGAAAGGAGGGCTGACAGCCAAACACCATAGTTCTCGTTACAAGTAGCCATCTGAACTTAGAGTTCCTACTCAGAAAATACCTTTCCTAAACCTATGGCCAGCTAATCTTCTAAGTAGCATTATTCTATGGTCTGTTTGTTTCTAGAAACTTAAAAAGAAACTAAGTTCCACTTTATCGTGGATTGCTTTGACTTGAAGTTCATCAAATAAAGTAGGAACTTAGTAAACTGCACAGAGAGCCCCGCGCTTCGGAGTTGTCAGTTGTCAGACATCAGTTGGTAGCAAAATGCTGCTGCCTTGTGGCTCTTGACTGAGTTGGATGTTTCTAAGATAGGCTGATACTTAGTTTCATGTCCAAGGTACCTTTCATTTCTTTTCTTTCTGAAGGACCGTATAATTGATGCTGGCCCGAAAGGAAATTATTCTCGCTTTATGAACCACAGTTGTAATCCAAACTGTGAAACGCAGAAGTGGACAGTGAACGGGGATGTTCGAGTTGGCCTTTTTGCTCTTTGTGATATTCCTGCAGGTAAAAAAGTAAATGCTCCCCATGTCCCCTCCCTAGGGAGCATGCCCTGAAGGCAGAACATTCTTCAAGGTTTATGCTCAAGTATTTATTCAAATAAGATAGAGTTATATTTAGAATTGTTATCTGCCAATAAGAAGTAAAAATCTGTATCCTGCAAAAAGGAGCTTAGCAAGAGCCTTTATGTAAGAGAGGATATTACAGAATTCTGTGTGTCCATGAACCTACTGAATTAATTCTCCCAATTACTGCTCTGTATAATGTAACCAGATGTTGAAACTTTTGTTTTCTTTTTTTAAAGTATTAAAAGTAATTAGCCTTTGTTAACATCAACTGGCTTCTTGGTTTGTGTGTGGGGGGGTTGTTTTTTAAGTTTGAAAGATCAGTCTGTTTTAAATTAGACATAAAAAACTCCTGAAGCTAGAGTTATTGCTTTCATTTTTCCTTACCCATCCAGCATCTTAACAGGAAAACTTAGTTTCTCCTTGGTTAAGTTTGTAGAAAAATGGGTGAGAAGAGAAATGCTATATAGCTAAAAGAGATTTAAACCGTGTTTCTAGAAATCATTGTAGATTGTTCTAGCCCAGCTAAAAAGAAAGCTTGGGCCTCCTACTTTGAATCCCTGGATCTTTAGTTTATATAGTAAACCCACATTTTGAACTCTTTCTGATCATAATATAAGGCATTAATTACTGGAAGTAGTATGGTCGTCACAATTCCATGGTCATATTGTTCATTTAGAAACTTAATTTGTAAATTAGCTTTAGAAAAGAGAGCTAAACTAGATCCCATTTTTCTTGAGCAAAGACTTTAGATTTGTAGTCTCTGTTACAGAGTTTTTGACCATTTTGATGAAAAGGATATGATGACTTTTGTAGAATATTTTTGCTCTAATCATTGGTGGATAGGGATGTTTTCCTCTAGTTTTTGGGTTTTTTTTTTTTTTCCTTTTTCCATCACTGTCTTCAGTGTGGGACATGGGAGAGGGAAAAGTCTTCATGTCAGAATTATGTCTCTTTTTTCATTATGAGAGTGTGTCTATGACAGCATTTCTCTTCTCCATAACTTGAGTATGAATAATTATTTCTCTTATGTTTTAGGGATGGAGTTAACATTTAATTATAACCTGGATTGTCTGGGCAATGGCAGAACGGAGTGCCACTGTGGGGCAGATAACTGCAGTGGTTTTCTAGGAGTGCGGCCGAAGGTCAGTTGTGCAGGGAGGTGCCCGGGCCAGCAGGAAACGAGGAGCAGGGCTGCCGCCCACATTTCTTTATGACCATCTCAGGAAAACGCTGGCAAATGGCCACCCGGCTTAGTGTGCGGGTTGTCAGTTGTATTTACCCAAAGTTTAGACTCTCTGACTTTCCAGGGAAGCACATCTTAGTAAGATCTGTTAGGTTCTGAAAATATATTTGTATTTCTGATTGAATTTGAAGTTAGCAAAATCCTTTTCAAATACTTTAAAAATTCACAATATATTAAAAACTACTGAATTATACACTTTAAAATGGGGAGTTTTATGATATGTGAATTATATCTCAATGTTCTTGCAACTTAAAAAAAGGCACCTCATTCAAAAATCAATGAAAATGAAGCCTTATTTTTATTATAGTACTGTTATGGGATAAGTCCAACTGGTGTTTTTGGGTAACTGAACAGATGAATTTAAATGAACGTGAGGTTGTAGGATTTTCTTTTCTGTGTAAAGCTTTATACACTGTGATCATTAAAACTGATCCTTTTTTCCTGCCAGTCGGCATGTGCGTCAACAACTGAAGAAAAGGCAAAAAATGCTAAGTTAAAGCAGAAGAGACGAAAAATCAAAACAGAACCAAAGCAGATGCACGAAGATTACTGTTTTCAGTGTGGAGATGGTGGAGAGCTGGTCAAGTGTGACAAAAAAGACTGTCCCAAAGCATACCACCTCCTATGCCTTAACCTGACTCAGCCACCGTATGGTAAGCTAGAACTTCAAGACGCTTTCTCTGACTTGCATCTTTGCTAACTGTGTGTAACTTAGAATATATTCCACTCTCCTTAGTGGAGCCATGGACTAGGAAATGTTGAATAGAACACACAACAATAGCAAACAAAAATCATGCTAGTGAAAAATCTGTCTCTCTGCAAATTTGAGATACCTGTGGGCCAGCAAGGGTTGGTTTCTTATTTATTATTACCATCGGTGAGTACTTGGCTCCTGTGGTGCTGAGTTTTGGGCAGTAGCTCACAGCCATACTTAATACTACACCCAGACCTATGTTTGGCTGAAATGTGGAGTCGTATTCAATTGAATTGAGTCTCCAATCAGAGAAGAAGGTGGGAACTTGGGTTTTTCATGGGTAATCAAGACAGGCGCTAACTTGGGCTCTTTTCCCCTTTCCCACCCTGCATTAGGAAAGTGGGAGTGCCCGTGGCATCAGTGCAATGAGTGCAGCAGTCCTGCTGTTTCCTTCTGCGAGTTCTGTCCACGTTCATTTTGTAAAGATCACGAAAAGGGGGCGCTGGCTCCCTCTGCACTGGAAGGCCGTCTCTGCTGCTCTGAACACAACTCCGTATCTCCTGTGTCGTCAGAATACTGGAGCAAGATCAAATGTAAATTGGAATCACAAGACCATGGAGAAGAAGTAAAAGACTAAATCGGTGGTGATTTCCTTTTTTTGAAAAGAAAAAAGTACATAAAAACGCATTAGTAAAAGAAGAGACTGCTGCAGTGCGTCCAGCCTTTGCCATCAGTACTGCCTTATTAAAGTGAAAACCAGTTCATACAGGCAGAAGCAGTTGGTGGTATCTGGTTTTTCTGTTTTGTTTTGCTGGTTTGGGGATTGTTTTATAGAGGGTTACATCCCCTTGGTCTTTTCTTGCCTTTTATTATGCTTCAATGCCTTTGCAGCTGGAAAAAGAGATGTCTTTGCTTTTAAAATAAGAACAAAGAGAAAAGAAAATTTTGTTAATGAGATAAATTTAAAGTCTAGGATGTGTTCCTTGGGTGTAAAAAGCAAAAGTAGCCATCATTCCTTTATTTATTTTCATTTTTTAAAATTTTGAGAAGTGTAGTTCAGATAGTCTAACCAGTGTATGTGTATGTGTTTTAAGTAGGAATTGGAGAAAGCCCTCTAGAAAAGGGTATGATGATCTTTTTATACCTCCTAACTGAGCAGTAGGTAGGCAAACTTCTCTTTCCCCTCCAAATGTCTTTCATAGTCTTAGGGAAAGGCTCTGTGGGAGTACTGAATCTGGCCTCTTGAAAACAAAATGTCTCAGTCGATTTTACCTCTGTGGTCTTTAACTAGGTGGGCTTTGTGACATGTAACTTTACCTTTATAGGAAAGGTATATAATGTGATTTTTGTTTTTTTTGTTTTGGAGAGAAAAACAAATGGATGCACTCACTGAGTCTGAAGCGTTTTCCATTGGTCGTGGGTATTTTTGATCAAGTGCATTTATATGGATGTGAATGCATAGTCAGAATGGTCATTCCTGTTATCTTGACACACTGCTAAAGGCAGCTAAAGGGAGATGAAAGGCACAGACCAAAAGTTGCATTATATAAGCACCATTTTATGTCCAATTTAATGTAGACCTTGGTCTGACTTGGAGAGAATTATGGGCATTTTATTTCCTGTCTCAGCTTCCCTCTCCTAATCAAACATTCCCTTTGTCAACTGACCACTCAGTGAAAACTACACAAATGAATCTGAATTGTATTTGAATAGATCTTTTTAGTTTAGATCCTAATTTGGGGGGTGAGAGAGGGAAAGGCATCCCCAAGCTATGTGTAAACAATTTCTATTTAGTATTATCCAGTACTTAAAATTGCCCCCATTGAGGAAGGGGAAGCACTTCTACAGGGTATATAAGAACCACAAAAACACACTTCATCTTAGGAAGCACTTAGGGGAAGCTCCCAAGAAAGCAGTGTTAGCAAAAACGGTGGGCTGTGACACTTGGCTCTCACAGATGCACATGCGCCAGGATGTCTGCCCACAAAACTCCACTTGCTTCTACTGCTTAGGAATATGTACATCCCAGTACTCCCTGTATGAAGTGATTAGTAACGTCCGACACTGTGGTAACGCTGTACTAGCAGAAATCTAGGCTTAGCTTGAATGAACGTTCACTTGCTGTGTGAATTCTGACTGCTTAAATTGCTGGTATCTGGTAGCATTTATTTTCCCTCAAGAAGTACCTAGTAACCTTATGAAGGTAGGGAGGATAGATGCTCTACCACATTCTTTCAGTTGTGTTATGTGTCTTCCTTTTTCTTATCAATTTAGAGCTCTCCTCTGGAAAAAAAGCTGTTTTGTGCCTCTTTTTTTTTTTTTTTTTGGTATGTAAATGTGCAATTATACTGGATTTTCTCTTGTAAAAAAAAAAAACAAAAAAGAAACAACACTACAATTCCTTTACTTAAGCTCCTAAACTGCCATTTGCCTGATTCCAGCAATTAATTCTGAGGTAACTTATTGGGCCTCCAATAATTCTGTTGATTAGATATGGTCCCAAAAGAAAGAGCAAAATAGAAAATGCTATACATGTTACCAAATACAATTGCTACAAGTAACATGAATTACAGCTCACCAAAACACTAAACTTTGCTCTTGAGCAATTACATAGTTTGATGTCCTTTTAAAAAATAATTTAAGAAAATCTAGGTTTTATCATAGTAAAACTTTATTTTATATATGTATGATAAATGTTTGCTTTTTTAAACTTACTAACATGAAGGATTTCCTTTAATATTTGAAAGGCAACTCTTGTTGAAACAGTATCCCACATGAAATCTTATCTCCTTGCTTTGTTTTGGACTTAGTGCTATTTAATATCTGATGACTTTTCTATGGTAAGCCAGGGTATATCATATATACTACAAATACCTTAGGTTTAAGTATTTTTATGCAGCTTCTTCATTGTGTCACATTTTGTTTGTATATCTATAACAGAGCTCTGCTGAGATTTTTTTTATCTTTTTTTGGTGTGGAGTGGGGTGGTGACTAATAGGACTGCCCTGCCATTTCAGAAATCAGGGTAGAAAACAAAATAGCTAACCACAGCTCTGGAGTCTTTGTCCATGAGTGTACTTCAGTGGTCTAAAAAGTGGTTTTATTCATGCCAGTGCCAAGGAGCTCTCCTCACACCTCCACAGTGTCACTTCTGACCTGTTTTATATATTTTAAAGTTGTAGGTTATGGAAGCAGAAAGAGTGACTTTATGTGTGCATGGTATACATGCACTGTGCTTGCTTTGCTTCACCAGTGAAATATTCCAAAAACATAGTGCTCACTCGTAGTCTGAAGTTGGTATTCGTTAACTTTTAAATCTATATGTGGTCAGAGCATAAATGGTTTTTATTCTTGTCCAAAATTGAATTAACTTAAAGCAGCATGAGATAATGGTGGTATTTTTTTTTTAACCTCATGTTAATTCTTTGGAGGAAGAGGTGAATGTAAGATTTTTAATAATCAGCCGAAAGCTTCAGAAATTGGATGGATAACAACTAAAGAAGAGAGCCTGGGAAACCTTCCAGACTCTGCAGTGGAGGGGCTGGACCGGGGCCGTGTGCGGCATCAGGAGAGCTGCCTGTGGCTGGCTGGGGCAGGGGCGGATGGCCCTTCATCCCCAGAGAGCTGAAGCAGCTGGAGGAAGTGATTCGCTTCTTTAATATCTAATCAGGGCTAGAGTTAGGAGTGAGCTGGGTTTTATTTTCATTTTGTTTTAACAAGTTCCCACTCTATCTTAATTCTCAAAAATGATCTGGCCTAAGCTATAGAATAGACTGACTTTTAGAATCATTGAAACTTAGAGATTTGTGTGTTCAAGTCAGGAACATGTCTGAAAACTTAAAAAAAATAAGGGTGGGGGTGAGGAAGGCTGCTCCCAGCTCCCTTCTGCCATTTCCACATACTATTTGGAAACATGCCTGTAAATAATGTTGTGAAACTCTGAGGTAATCATGTAAAGGACTCTCAGACAGGGCAGGCTCTTGGACAGCTTTCTTTTCCTGATTCATGAAGTAGAGTTTCCTTTTTGAGTAGGTTGTTGCATGGAATGTGTTCCAATCAGGGTCAAACCCAGACCTGCAGTTTAGAAACATAGATAAGCCGGCTACACAGAATGTAATCTCTGGACTACCCAGGATTTGTTGCTTGTCTTTCATTTCATTTTTAAATACAAAGCTCTTCCTTTACCATTCATCTTAAAGTCAAGGTGCTGTCACATGCGATGTCCCAACAGGATAAGAAAACAACTTGAGAAGCTTACATTTGATGTACTTCTACATGAGGTGTGACGACAGTGGGAGGCTGCTTTATTGCTGGGTGGTGCAAATTAGACTGGAATTACTTTTTACAAATCGGATGCATCTAGCCACCCCCAAGTTGTCCAAGTTGCTGCAGACATGAGGTGATCATTTGGAACAATTTCCTCTGGCCTACAGCCACCTAGAATTGGTCTCTGGTTATTTGTAAACAAAGTAGAACTCCCATTTTCAGATAGGCTAGGGAATAGATATAATTAGACAGCTTTGCCATATATTAACAAATATTGAAAACTTGGAAATGTGTATATACTGAAATCTACCAACTTTTATCTGGGGCTGGGTACGGGGAGAAAAGGGTTATAGTAGGGGAAGGGAGGGGAATGATGTTTACCACAGGTACGAAGTAGTCACTTTAACATTGAGACCTCTGCCTCACTGAATTCAGGTTTTTTAAGTACTTGAAACTCTTCAGATTCTCCTTATTTTACAGTTATTTTTAAATTTATGAACTAGAAAAGCATTGTTTTATATACTGTTTTGAAAATAAATAGCCTAGTCTCTTATCCTCTGTGACTTGGATTAAAGGCAGAATTCTGCAAATGGGAGCGTGTTCACAGTTGATAGCTCAGATTTCATGTACAAATTTGAGGAAGAGACTCCTGCATGAAATACCAGCAGCATTTGTACAAATATTTCCTATGTATGTTCTTTATTTTGTCATTTTGTCAGCCCTATCCCCAAGCACTTCTTTCAATATATGCCTGTGTTGGAAAAAACAAAAATTTGCACTTATGTTACACTCCTAAAATGCTGGGTGTAACCTGTGTGTTTCAAAAACCATTTCCGTTCTTTTTTTGTCAGTCCATTGCTTAAGTGACAAGTTCAGGTGCTTGTGGCACATATGTGTGAAGGGCGAGGAGGAAGAGAATCACTTGTCCTTGGGTAGCCTCAAAAAGTCATTAATGCGTAAGAAAAAAGGAAAAGATGAATGTCGCCAAAGTCATTTATTCAGTCCTTAGTTTTCTTATGTGACATTACGGCATCTGATTGGCAAGCAAGCACCCTCAGGTTCCAGTACTCCCTTCTCTGCCTGTTACAGACTTCTGATATGTGCAGATGGCTCTCAGGATCCATCAGGTTACCTAGATAAGGTATTTAGAAGGTCGTCTTGTCAGTTTAGAAGTGGACTGGATAAAATTTACTTTGTTGTCATTAATATTGCTCTTTATCTCATTTGTGCTATCACATACCCAATGTTAAAAAAGAAAATCATATTGCCCCCGATAACCAAGATGCAAAATGATGATTACAACTAGCTAATAATAAGATTCTTTTTATATACAAGGGTGTGTGCATAATTGGAATTGATATGAGAATTCATTTGTATCTGCTTGTGATATTGCACAACAAACACAGATACCTACAGATTCTGTTTTCATTTCCTTGTGATCTTTATGATAATGACCTTTGTAGATTGGTTATTTCTGTACTTTGTTTATCTGTAATAAACTTTGTAGATCCTGTGAAATGTTATTTTGCCTAAATCACTTGAGACTTGAGTCTTTAATAACAAAGCATCAATATTCACTAAAGTCAATCTCCTTTGAGTTTCCGTGACTTGTCTAGAAGCTCCTGACACTAAGGGATTAGTGTTAATTTTCCCTGGGGGTGTTCCACTAGGGCATTACTCTATAATGACTTGATGTTGCCACATAGACTTCAAGATATATGATATTTTGGGGATTTTGTTGATTGGCCTATGTTTTATTGCATAGTGTGAAACGTGTAAAGCTTGGTTAACCTGTATATAGACAGCTTACTGTTGACTAGTTAGTGTATTTAGGATTGCCTGTAATATTTAAGCTTCTTACTACTGTGTGTGCTGGTAGGAACATATAATTTTTGTACATTCCATTTACTGAGATGTTGCCTTTTTTTATTTTACAAATACTTTGGAATTCAAATGTGTTTTTTGCTTCTGTGAGGATTAATTTGGAAAAGTTTTTAATGACATTCCACTGATTACAGATTTTGCTTGAGAATGACTTCAATAAATTGTCCTGTATGTTCCAAATTAAATATGTGGATTTGTTCATTGCCTGTAATTTCTTGCTACAACTCACTGGGCAAGAGGCCATCATGGGAGGGAGGGGACCTGGCACGCAGGGTGAATGACCCAGTATGTCTTCCCTCAGCCACTGAGGCCTGCAGCACAGCAAAGTCCTGTATGAGAGCTAAGTAGATCTTCCTTCAAAATGCTGCTATGCTGCTAATAAACTTGGACCCGAAAATGGGTGTGTGTTTTGTTTTCATAGAGCAAAGGTCCTTGGAGGACGTAGCTCCTTGATTTGGTGTGGTATGAGAATATGGGAGCTGGATGGCGGGGCCATGCAGGAGAGAGATTCATCACTTTCATTCCACTGATTTATCAGACCCTAAGGTGACCTATTGCTGGGCTGGACCCAGGAAGCTTGCTCATTGCTGAACGTACAGGAGAACAGCACTGCTTGCTTTCATTCCTTTTGCTAGGAGGGGCTCTCAGAGGAACGCAGAGCTGCCTCTGCTGCTTCCTGGACTGCTGAGCCGGCGGCGGCGACGAGGTGGCTGAACGCCTTCCCTGCGTGCAGTTCGCCCGGTGCCCGCCAGCCCGCGCTGAGAGCAGCCGAGATCCGGCCTCCCGGGACGGCCCTCTGGGGGGCGGCCCTCGCGTCCCCGCGTCCCGCCGCAGCGGCTGCCACGTCAGTGCGTCGCGTGTCCCCGGGCCGGGCTGATGGGGAAGGCGGCGGCGGCCTTGGGGGCCGAACTGGGCGTGCGGATCGCGCTGTTCGCGGCTTTCCTGTAAGCGACTCGCGGAGCGGACCCAGGGCCCGGGCCCCTCTCGCACGCGGGCGGCTGCCGACGCACAACGAGGCGGGCAGGGCCCCACCGCCTCGGCCGGCCTGGGGCCCTGGAGGTGCACCGAGCGTCCGAGGAAGCAAACCAACGTGCTCTGTTTTTTTGTTTCCCCTTTAGGATAACAGAACTTCTCCCTCCCTTCCAGAGGCTCATCCAGCCGGAGGAGATGTGGCTTTACCGGAATCCCTATGTGGAAGCAGAGTATTTCCCCACCAAGCCCATGTTTGTGCGTGGAGAACCGGCCCTTCCTCCTGACCCTCAATGCGGCTCACTGAGCTTAATGCTAGGAAGGGAAGGTGGTCATTCCGGCTCCAAAATTATCTTTGTATTGCTCCTTGTGTTGATGTGCTCGATTTTGCTTCCTGATGTTTAAGATCCAGATTTAGAGAGCCAGCCTGTTTTGGCTCCAGGCGTCCTGTGAGCTCTGCTCCTTAGGATGGCCGGGTCATTCCAGCTAGGGGTGACAGTGCTATTTACCGATGGAGCTGCCTAGGGCCCAGTTAGCCCACAGACGCTGAGACCCTCCTTCTATTGCCAGGGGAACAGTTAGGTCTGCTATGTGAGTTCTGTCACTTCCATCCCTCTTCCCTATAGCAGCTACTTTAACAACTAGTTGTGCAGAGTTATATCTGTGCTTTGGTTTTGTTTTTTAACCTCTGACATATTCTGGTTCAGGTCATTGCATTTCTCTCTCCACTGTCTCTGATCCTCCTGGCCAAATGTCTCAAGAAGGCAGACACAACAGACAGCAAACAAGCCTGCCTGGGTAAGAGCTAACCCCTTTCTGGCTCTTGTCGTCTTATCTTTAGTGCTGGAATGAGAAGGCAGGAGTTGTGGGGTTCAGCCACTGGAGTCGTGGCCTCAGTGTGTGGAGGCCACTGAGTTCTGTGTTCCTAAAGTAATTGTATGTCCCTTGTACCCCACTTGTTAACCCTGTGAAACAGAAAAATAGCACTGTAAGAACTTGGTTAACCTCACAGGTGTGCCTAAATGCACTGGATTATTTGTACCTCAAAATGTCTTCAGCCTAGTACAGAATTCTCCCTGTACTACAACAGAGTGGTCACTGCAGGCAATTATTTTTATACTCAGCTCTGCCTGGGGCCTCACCATCCCTCTCTCTCAGAAAGACGGTGGCTGCTCTCTTAATGAGACAGTGACCATGCCACTCCTCCTACGCAGATTCCACTAACAGTAAGTTTCTTTGCTTTCCAGCTGCCAGCCTTGCCCTGGCTCTAAACGGTGTCTTTACTAACACAATAAAACTGATAGTGGGGAGGTAAGTGACAAGAGTTAGCCACCCCGGTGTCTGCCTCAGCCCTCACTTCCTCAGGAGAGATGGTTAATGGTACTCCCTCACACATCCTTCTCCTTCTCCTTTTCTCCTTTATTCTCAGTATGTTCTTCTCTCATTTAACACTTCCTCCCTTCCCTATACCTTAGTCCTGCGGGTGACACTTGGCTCTCTTCTCCCTGAACAGCATTTCCCAGTGACAGCCACCACAGAGTTGGTGTCCTTTAGAGCACCCCTGAAGCTGCAGCGTGACTTGCTCTTTGCCCCAAAAAGTAATCATGTGCTGGAATGGTTTTGTTTGTTTTTTCCCCTAATTTAATGTGGACCCTGGAAATAAGGCTTTTCTCTTAGTGGTGACTATCCTAACCCAGTTTCATTATTTTGCCTGGGACACTAATTGACCAACAGTTTAAAGGATTACTGATGTCTGATACAACCAAAAAATCACTTCTAGAGTTGTAAGTGATCTGTGTTCAGACCATGCTTATTTCTTCCAGGCCACGCCCAGACTTCTTCTACCGCTGCTTCCCCGATGGGCAGGCCCCTCCGGACTTGATGTGCACAGGAGATAAGGACGTGGTGAATGAGGGCCGTAAGAGCTTCCCTAGCGGACATTCTTCCTGTATGAATACCACGTGGACTCTACGTCTATGCTTTTTTTTTGGATCACTGAATTTATCTTAGGAAGTTTGTGAGGATGGGAACATCTCACTACTCTTGTTCTTGTATCTAGAAATTGGAGAAGCCCCTTCTTTAATAACCCTGGGATTTCACAAGCCTGAGCCTCGAATATTAGGGCAAATATTCGAGGATAGAGGAAGTAGTTTACCTTCATGAGATTGGAACATTATTGTCGTATTATTTGCCTAGATTCTGCAATCTTGTACTAGTCACAAAAATATTAACTTTTATTGAAGAGTTACTATGTGTCAGATACTTTGGAAAGCATTTTAGATTCTTACCTCATTTGATACCTAATAGCCCAATGAGGTAGATACTATTATTTTTGATTCCCATTTATACATGAGGAAACTAAGGCATTGAGAAGTTAAGTAACCAGCCCAAAGTCATACAGCTAGTATTCCAAAAACTATTCTCAGGGTCAATATTGTAAACTTTGGGACACAAAATAAAGTCCTTCATTTTTCCTTTGTTTCCTTCTCCCTCATAATCAGTGATCTATACCAGAAGAATGCAAAAAAAGGGATAAAACATGTTCACGCCCCCTGGCCTCCTATTTGCAGATGAGTGAGGCAGCTTCCTTTAAAAGACACAAACTTATAGGTTTTCCCTCTTCTAGTTGCATTTGCTGGTCTGGCCTTTGCTTCCTTCTACCTGGCAGGGAAGTTACACTGCTTCACACCACAAGGCCGTGGGAAGTCTTGGAGGTTCTGTGCCTTTCTGTCACCTCTACTTTTTGCGGCTGTGATCGCACTGTCCCGCACCTGTGATTACAAGCATCACTGGCAAGGTAAGTAAGGCATTCATGCCAGGGAAGCATCCATGTTTCACTTGCCATTTTATCCCTAGCACTTGGCACAGAAGACACACTCACTAAGTATCTGCTGAATGAATAAACAAATGAGTATGGGATGATCTGGGTTCTGTACTGAGAGTATGCATTTAGAGCTATATGGAAGATGAGAAAGCACGGTTACCTACCTGTTAAAGAGATTACCAAGGAGGAACATCCTAATTTTTCCATTATTTTTAAGCATCATAAGTTCAGAATAAACTCTATAAGAGTTTTTTAGAATAAACTTAAAAGCTCAATTTACTTACTGTCTTAAAATCAAGTTCACTGTCATGAAATTTTTGTTCAGAAACAAAAGTAAAATACAACAAAACATAAAGTTGTAATTAAACCAAAGAAATTTAAGTAAATGATACAGTAAAACATCCAAATTATAAAACATCTTCATAGAAAACCCACAATTCAAAAAAAAAAGCAAATGGTATTGCCAAGAGGTCCTTAGGACCCCTGTTTTAAGGAATAAAGTAATTTTTGCAAAGAGGTAACTCTTGAAGAGTTTATTCCTTCCTCTAGAACTCTTCAGATGGTGAAAAAGTTAGTAGCATTAAGTGAACCTCTGTTATTCTTCTGAATTAAAAATATTCAATCTAGTGTACTTGCAGAAAGGCTTATTATATTTACTTAACTAAAGATGTGTTTTGACTTGGTGTTTAGAGAACAACCTGATAATGATAATCTTGTAACTATATTATAAAACTGAGAAAGCCTAAAGAACCATAAACCTGGAATCAAGGTTTTTTGCAGCCCAAGCAAGTAGAGTAACCTGGAGGGCCAAGTCTTCCTTACTGTGTGGTGTCTAACATGATTTAAGAGTCTACTATGATCAAGAGAAGACCTTATCCCCTCTCTCTTCAGATGTACTAGCTGGATCCATGATTGGCCTGACGTTTGCCTACGTCTGCTACAGGCAGTATTACCCTCCTCTGACTGATGCAGAATGCCATAAACCATTTCAGGGAAGACTTGCACTGCCCACTGCACAGAAGAAGCCTGGTGATCCTCATCATTTTGATATTTAGAAATTGGAGCTACCTCAGTGGGGAACAGGTGAATCAGCCCTTCTAACTGGACCACACCCGAGACAAGAATTTCTGACCTGTGTACCTCTGAAGCGGTACAGGCGAGGGCACAAGCACTTCATTCTGCCTCCACAGGATGACGCAGTTGTGCCCCTGCTCATCATGAGGAGTCAAGATTCTTTTTCACTACTGTTTGCCACACATTCTGGTAAAAAGATCTTTCAATAGTCCTCCAACAGCTTATGAATCTGGTCCATCAGATTGGTATCCCAAGATCTACAGTGTTATTTCATTTAATTTAAATGCCATTCTTGGAAGGATCTTGTCACAAAGAAGCCTCTACATAGCCCCACTTTATCTTAGGAACTACAGTTAATCATCAAAACTTAATTTCCGTTTCTCATAGCTCAAAATCTTTTTTTTTGTGAGGAAGATCAGCCCTGAGCTAACATCCATGTCAGTCCTCGTCTTTTTTTGCTGAGGAAGACCGGCCTTGGGCTAACATCTGTGCCCATATTTCTCCACTTTATATGGGATGCCGCCACAGCATGGCTTGACAAGCGGTGCATCGGTGCACACCCAGGATCCAAACCCGGGCCGCCAGCAGCGGAGCGTGCACACTTAACTGCTACGCCATGGGGCCGGCCCCTCCCATAGCTCAAAATCTTAAAATCTAGGGCACGACCAACTAAATTATTTTCATTCTGTTTACTTTCTCTGTAACAATTCCATCAAGCCTTAAATAGGAAAATGTCCAATTCTGGCTAATTTACCACTGTCATGCATATCTTATCCGAGTCCAGCCAGATATTGCTGTCCATTTTGAATTCTGTGGGCATAAATGATTTGTAGAATTATTAAGTAAAGACAATAAAAAAGAAAACGGTCAGGAGTGTGCTTTCAGTACTAACAAGTGATGATTATTTCTACCTCATTTGTTCTTCACTGTGCTCATGAGCTTCTTCCCCTCCATTCATGACTAAAGATCTGCCCAAATACATCAACTTTGCCAACTGGCTAAGGCAGGAAAGAAAAATTGAGAAAAATAACAGATATCATTATCTGGAGGACAAATGAATCTTTTTCCATCCCTTCTTCACAATGGGATATAAACAACAATTATGGGACATCATCAGAACTGATACTATAGGACCTACAACTTTCCCTTTATTGTGATTATATTTTAAATATGACCTTGTCTTATGTATTTCTTTTTATAACATATTTTCAATGTATCTTTTTCCTTCAGTAAATGTGATATTCAAATAAAATGATGAATTTGCTTTTTTTGTACTTAAAGTACCATTCAAGAGCTGGAACATTTCTAAAGTAAACAATTGGATTCCCCATCTGACATAAGTGAATCAACTCTATAGTAGGGGCTGCTGTTAATACTGAAGGACAGTCTTGGTATTTCCCTTATCATTGCGATGCTCTTAATTCTGAACTATATCTGCCTGTGACAATGAAAACACCAGTCAAGGGAAAAGAACTTAAATATTAGTTCTTTGCCCAAAACTTTTATTTTTTTAAACTTGTTTTAGTGATACATAGGGGAAGAGAAAATGGTTATTGTATTGATTTTCTTTTTTTTTTTTTTTTTAAAGATTTTATTTATTTTCCCCCCAAAGCCCCAGTAGATAGTTGTATGTCATAGCTGCACATCCTTCTAGTTGCTGTATGTGG